CTGTCAGAGGAGTGCAGTTGCTTTTTTCCATTTGTGTTCCATGTTTAATTTCTGATATTTTCATCTTGGCAAGAAGGAAACTATATTCCTAATCGTATGTTGCTTTTTTTTTTAAGATTTTATTTATTTAGTCATGAAAGACACACACACAGAGAGAGAGAGAGAGAGAGAGAGAGAGAGGCAGAGGGAGAAGCAGGCTCCATGCAGGGAGCCCGATGTGGGACTTGATCCTGGGTCTCCAGGATCATGCCCTGGGCCGAAGACAGGCACCAAACCGCTGAACCACCGGGGTTGCCCATGTATGTTGCTTTTTTGACTTTCATTGTTAGAAAACTCAGAAGAGGCTTTTTAGCATTTATAATATATGAATTTTCTTTAAAGTACTGACTTAAATAATACATTACTAAACATGCTGGGGGTATTGTGGAGTTTTGCCTTCATGTTTGGATGCCTACTTCTTAAAAGGCTAGCTAATTTTAATCAGTTCAGAATATCATCACCTATTAACTATGATACACAGGGTAAAGCAAAAGTAGATGTAAATTCATATTTAAAGCAATATTCTTTCTAATTTCAATGATTATGGCCACCTTGTCAGATCTGATTAGTCATTAGTTTTTTTACTTTGCAGTGTAGCTTCCAAAGGGCATTAGAAATGTCAGCTCAGCTGATTGTATTTGCCTGTTCTTGCATTATGATCACTATCTCCATTGGTCCATGCTGTAACAGTTAGTTTACTTAAACATCATACACAAATCCACTTAGATACAGAAATTGCACCATGTGGCAATATATTGAAAGTGAACAAAGGAGAACGCCTTCCCTCCCCTATCATGTGCTGCTGTGCTCCCACCCTCTTCTAGGTGCTTGCCCACTTATGGAGTAAGTGGGGATGCTGGCACCAGTCCTCACATTCAATATGAGTAAAGCTTAATTTCTTTCCCTCTTTTTTGGTAAAAAAATATATGTGTTTGTACATAGAAATGCAAATACTTTATTCTAAAATTTCAAGGGTTGCTTTCAGCACCCCATTTTGGAGATCCTTGCTCTAGATAAAGGTCTTAAAATTTTGGTCTTTAAATTTTATAAATCCTCTCTTTTTACTGAAAATAACTTGAAACTCTAATATTAGATGCTAATAACATAGGTCTGATTGACTTTGAGATGGGAAGAGGTGATGTTTAGACCTCTCTAGGCATCTTTCTCCCCAACCTCCTCAGGTTGGAAAAAATCTTATGCCAACCCGAGTTCTTCAGACCTACCTTTAGTACTAACATTTGCTTCTTCTCTAGTCATTAAGGAGTCAGCATATTTTTCAAAGGCTGGTATATTAATATTCGTGATCTGGGGATCAGTAATAACTCACTGAATTACCTCACACACACCTAACGCTCATATGTGGCTACATTTTATCTGGGAATGAGAACATCTGTTAGAATGAATATAAAATGGTGGCATTTCAGCTGTGAAAATAGGAAAATACATTGTTTGGGCTGGAGGTGCTTGATTGTGTGTTCCTCAGTGACTTTGAGATTGGAAGACATAATTTGTGTAATTTGTTACACCCTGGTAAAAGTAAATTTTTAAATAAATGCTACTGAGGGAAACTACAAATATATAAACCAGGAAACATTGTCAATAAAAGGAAAATAACCATAAAAAAGTAGTCATAAGATAATTCTGGAGAGAATCTTTAAGATATCAGGAAGTGGACCATCTGTGATTTTGTATTAGCCAAGATAAGTAACACTAGCTGCTGTAATAACTGACCAACCAAAATGTCTGGCTTAACTCAATGAGGATCTATTTTCTCACTCATGTCTCAGTACAATGCATGCTGTGAGGCAGCTCTGCTATAACCACTCATTTGGGGACCCAAGCTTCCTCCATGCAGCAGACCAACAATTTGCTTCAACATTGACCTCGCTTCATCCAATGAGTAGAGAGAGGGATAAAAGAGAAGTAAAAGGCCTTCTCCTTTGTTCACTTTCAATTTATTGTCACATGGTGCAATTTCTGTATCTAAGTGGATTTGTGTATGAAAAAAGGCATACTTTTCTTAACTGCTTATCAGGGATTATATTCTACTGCCAAAACCTAATCATAAGGCCTTACCTACATGTAAACACTTTGGGAAATGTAGTTTAGCCCCAGGTCCCGGAAGAGATGGGTTTGGTGAGCATCTAGCTGAGCTCTGTTGTATATACAGAGGGATTCCTGACCCATAATTGAGAAGCATCAGGCCTAACTTTGGAAATCTTCTCTTTGGAACTCTCTTTTTTGCTTGCTGTAGTAAAGGAATTTGCACACCACTAATTTAGCTCTTGCTGTTCCCTAAACAAGCCATGATCTTCCATGTCTCTATACCTTCACATGTGATTTGCATAGGATGTCTGTCCATTCTTTTTAAAACTCTTTCCCTTTACCTCCTTTCTCTTCTTCCATATCTAGCAATTCCTCCCCATCCTTAAGACCCAAGAAGATGTTTACTTCTTCTATGAACTTCTCTCTGATGGCACACAGGCATGGATCTTTTCTTAATGTTCACTGAACTTTATCCTTGTACTTTGTACCTACCTCTATTACTGAATGTGTGAGCTTGTATTATAATTATTTAAGGAACCAGTATGTTTTCAAAGGATTGGGTGGTTAATATTCACAATATAGTGACCATTAATTATAGACTTAGTTTCTCAAGGGTAACACTTGAATCTTACCTTAGTATCTCCCATGCCTGCCTAGCACAGCCTGGCTCACTTACTCAATATCAGAGGAGAAAATGAATACTGTCTCTCTTCCTGCCAGTTGCCAGTCCCCCTCCCCCCTTTTCATATGGTTGTAAAAACATAGAACATAAAATTTGCCATCTTCACCATTTTTAAGCATACATTACCGTAGTGTCTACCATATGCATCTTATCTCTAGAACTTCTTCATCTTGCAAAACTGAAACTCTACTCCTTGAACAACTCTCTATTTCCTCCTACCCCCAGCCCTTGGAAACCACTTACCATTCTTTCTGTTTCTAAGAGTTTGACTACCTGATGTGAGTAGAATAATGCAGTATTTGTCTTTTTGTGACTGACCTGTTTCACTTTAGCATAATGCCCTCAAGATTCATTTATGTTGTAACATATGACAGGAGTTCCTTTTTTAAGTCCAAATATTTCTTTTTTTAAAAGGTCCAAATATTTCATTGTAGGTACATACCACATTTTCTTTATCCATTCATCCATTCTGGTGTCTTTGTTTTTGACCTATGGTTACTCGAGGGGACTGACAAGAAAATACATTTTCTGTTGACTCAAGAGAAAAGGTGATCCTATACTCTTAAATATTTCAGGATGGCTTATATTGTAGAGATCAAAAGAGAAATTATACTTAGAGCGAGGAAAATTAGATTTAAAAAAATCAGTGACTACAGAAACAATGCCTCTTGCTGTATGCTATGAGCATGAGAAACTGTATTATACTGCTTCCAACTGAGCAACTAGGGCCCATAATAAAAAGCTGTTCACATTCCAAAGGCCTCTTACCCTAGTCTTTTCACTGCCCTAGTCAGTACCTCAATACTTCTTCAGTACCTCATATCCTCAAAATAGCTCTTTTGAGAAAAATTTTAAAGTAGGCCAAAAATAAATAAGGAAAGGGATAAGTAACTCAACACAGAGGACTTGTGAGAATTTTCATGTTTATGGAGAAGCTGAGTCCCACAGTAACCTCTGGCCCTTCTTCTCCGTATTAGTGAATTCCAGTGTTCATTTGCATTAAGTTAGTTTGGCCCTTTAGCAACATTCATAACCTTTACTTCAGTGCGTTATCATGAAAGAATCTAAAGTATCCTTGCATTAAGCATGATCGTTATGTTTTCAGTTGGTCTAAGGATCTATTAATTAAATATGTAGCTTTAACGTGTACTGAAAACCTCCAAGTAAGCTAGCATTCATCTTGTAAAGAAGTTAAACACCCCACACATAACTTTTTAAAACCATCGCAGTAAGAACCCCAGCACTAAAGAAAGAAAGAAAGAAAGAAAAAAAGAAAGAAAGAAAGAAAGGAAAGAAAGAAAGAAAGAAAGAAAGAAAGAAAGAAAGAAAGAAAGAAAGAAAGAAAGAAGAAAGAAAAGAAAAGAAAAAAGAAAAAAACCTAACCCTGCAGTTTTGGTAAAATATGCCAAACATAGCCTGAAATAGTAAATAATCCCTCAAAAGCGATATTAGCAAATTAATTGGTGTGTGAACAAAGACCCCTTTCTACACTAGCATGAATGTTGCCTTTATTTTTTTTTTCTCACAAGTATGATTTTAGAAAACAGCTGTAGTGCATGTTGACAAATGACAAAGCGGCAGACGTGGTAAAACATTTTCCGTCAAGGCCAGGGGCGGGGGGGAGGGGGGGGCGTGGAACGGGGCTGCCGGAGCGGCCAACGGGCTTGAACGCCTAGCTTCCCTAACCTCTTCCCCCAGGCTTTAGGGAGCGGGGGCCTCAGCGCCCCACCCCCCTCCCCCGGCTCCGGTTACAGCCTCTCGAGTTGAGCAAACTTGCTGCAGGCGGATCGGCGATCAGGAGCTCTCCGGCTTGGGCGCTGCATTTATTAATTTATATTGCGCGGGGCCCTGCGCGGGCTGCTCCTTTGTACCCGGCGCCGCCGCCTGGGCCGGGGAGGGGGGAGCGCGCCGGACCCCCGAGGCCAGCACGTGCTGCGCCCGCCCGCCAGGCCCGCCGAGGGGGCGGAGGCCCCGGCTTCGCTCCCGAGCCGCTCTCCGCCAGGAGGAGGGGCGGCGGCGGCGGCGGCGGCGGCGGGAGGCGACAGCTGCCCGGCCCAGGGAGCGCGGCAGGACAGGCGGCCGCGGCGCCCGGCCACACGGGGCGGCGGGAGGCGGGAGGCGGGAGCGGCGGGCCGCGCGGGATGGCCCCGGGCCCTTCCTGACTGGCTGGCCGCGCGCACACGGCCCGGCCCGCACGTCCCCGCCCGCGGGGGCCCGCTCTGCGTCGGCCGCGCCGCGGTGGAGGCGCGCGAGGGGGACGCGGCCGGGGATGAGCTGACTGCGGGGAAACAGCCGCCGCCGGGCCCCGAGAGGCCGCCGGAGCCGCTCGCCTCCGGGTCGCCGCCCTGCCTTTGCATCCGAGATCATGTACGTACGCGCCGCGGTCCTGCCATTGTCTGCGCCCCGGCGCGCGCCGTGCGCCCCGGCCCGAGGGGCCCCCGCTGCTCCCCGCCGCGCGCCTGCTGCCCCCCCGGCCCGAGGGGCCCCCGCTGCTCCCCGCCGCGCGCCTGCTGCCCCCCCGGCCCGGCCCGAGGGGCTCCCGCTGCTCCCCGCCGCGCGCCTGCTGCCCCCCCCGGCCCGGCCCGAGGGGCTCCCGCTGCTCCCCGCCGCGCGCCTGCTGCCCCCCCCCCGGCCCGAGGGGCCCCCGCTGCTCCCCGTCGCGCACCTGGTGACCCCCCGGCCCGAGGGGCCCCCGCTGCTCCCCGCCGAGCGCCTGCTGCCCCCCCGGCCCGGCCCGAGGGGCTCCCGCTGCTCCCCGCCGCGCGCCTGCTGCCCCCCCCGGCCCGAGGGGCCCCCGCTGCTCCCCGTCGCGCACCTGGTGACCCCCCGGCCCGAGGGGCCCCCGCTGCTCCCCGCCGCGCGCCTGCTGCCCCCCCCCGCCCCGGCCCGAGGGGCCCCCGCTGCTCCCCGCCGCGCGCCTGCTGCCCCCCCCCGCCCCGGCCCGAGGGGCCCCCGCTGCTCCCCGCCGCGCGCCTGCTCTCCACCCCGCCCGCTGTCCCGCTCGGACCGCGCCTGCTGCCCTCGCCCCCTCTCTGCCGTGCAGGTCCATCCACATCGTGGCGCTCGGGAACGAGGGCGACGCGTTTCACCAGGACAGCCGGCCGTCGGGGCTCATCCGCACTTACCTGGGGAGAAGCCCGCTGGTCTCGGGGGACGAGAGCAGCTTGTTGCTGAGCGCGACCAGCACGGTGGCGCGGCCGGTGTTCACCGAGTATCAGGCCAGCGCGTTCGGGAATGTCAAGCTGGTGGTCCACGACTGTCCCGTCTGGGTAAGCGGCGGCAGCTGCTCCGTGCCCAGGCGGCGGGGCTCTGCTTTAACCCCCCCCCCACCTCCTCCTCCTCTCTCCTCTCCTCTATCATGGATGTGGACCGGCTGGGTCACCTGGGTAGAGTTTTTAGACATTTGGGGGGAAATCTTTGTCTTCCTTTGTTTCCCCAGGCAGGGGGCAGCCCTGGGGGAGAACAGTCGTGGAAGGTGAAAAAAGCCCCAGTGGCAACATGGAGCACATACTCGTATGCTTCGCCACCGTAGGCTGTCCCTTGGTAGCTGGCAGTTGACTGTGACAACCCCCAGGGACAGGGTCACTAAGCTTCACCAGCAGAGACCAATGTTTTTTCATGCCTACCCCGTGGGTGATAGTGTAATATTAGTGTTCTAAAAATAAAGTCCTCTGAAAGCATAACTCAAGCAAAAATAAATTTCATTGGGACAGTTCAGGACTAGGACCCCTGGAAAGGAGAGGAAGGCACAGGAGCTGAGAATGGATTTTAAACCACTCCTTTATAAAGCTATCCCCCTTTGGACATTTTAATTAGCGTTTTTAATTTTAATAATGCGGATACTCCTGAGATATTAGCTTATTTGTTTTCAGTGACTCATAAATCAGAAATAAGAACGCTGGTTGGAATTTTCAGAAAGCTTTAAAATTTGCAATAATTAAAAGAAGTTGTATAAAATTCTACTCTGATTCTTGAGTGGTTCATAAAAGGAGAAAATATATTCTGAAGTCGATAAAATTCTACTCTGATTCTTGAGTGCTTCATAAAAGGAGAAAGGAATATGCTCTTTGACACAAATATTTTCAGTAGGCAGTATAATAATACACAGTAATTATTTAAATGTTTTCACTTAATCTTATTTGAAAATTTCTGATTCTTTACTGCTTTTGGAGTTATAACTAAAGCTGAAGATTGTATTTTATTTTTTTTTGAAGGTTGTATTTTATAACAGAAGAAAGCTTAGTGTCTGAAAAATAGTGTAAATTATCTTTATGTGAGATTTTACATTTTTTTAAAAAGACTTTATTCATGAGAGACACACAGAGAGAGGCAGAGACACAGGCAGAGGGAGAAGCGGGCTTCATGCAGGGAGCCTGATGTGGGACTTGATCCCAGGTCTCCAGGATCAGGCCCTGGGCCGAACGCAGGCGCTAAACTGCTGAGCCACCCAAGGATCCCCAAGATTTTACATTTAAACAGCAATTTTAAAAAGCTGAATTATGTGCTATAGGGAACTAATACACGTTTCTAAAGGAATGTGTGGAATGTAAGTAGAAAAATTACTTATGCAAATTACAGGAAGAAAAGATCTCTACCTCAAACGATCAGTTAAAGGATATTTCTGTTAATGGGCTGAAATAAATGAAAAACAGGTTTGTTTGTTTTCAATAAGTGGGATGGCATTAAACTCCCTTTTATGACAGTGATGATGCCTATCTTAAGAAGCGTTGGTAAGGAACTTACTGGCTGGATTCCATGCGAGCAAATGAAACACCTCTTTTATTTTGGCCATTTCATTGTGAAAAATCATACAGTCTAAAAACTTACTGGTTTTACATGCAGTTGAAGAAATGTGAATGAGTGAATAGAGTAAATAAGTAAATTGGAACAAATAAGTGAATAAAGTAAATAAATGTAGAGAAAATAAACTGAATTAGGATGTTAGGGTTACCTTTCCTGTTTTTTTTTCTTTGAGCTGTTAACTCTTTCCTGTTTATGTTGTTAATTTAGCAAAAAACAGTACTTGTAATCCCATGTATTGTAGTAAATGAAATCTTCCAAATGGATTAAAATAAGCCTCTGTAGTCTAGATTTTTGCCTTATACTCAGTGTTGTGTTTTATCTTGCTTATCAACTTTTATGTGTTTAGACTCTGGTCCTGTTTAAGGCATTAAGTTTTGGTACATGTTTTTGGGTTATAAAGATCTTCAAGCATTAGGGAACATACTTATAGAGCTTCTCTTTATAAGGTGCTTCTTTTTTCTTAGTGGTAAGTAAAAGTCCATCAGAGATATTCAAGTTGACTGTATTTATCAGCTGATACTTGATGTGTACTGAAACAGTATATTCAGTATAGCAAAACAGCACAGGTTTGGATATTTCAGATCCCCACATTGCTACTTAGTGGCTTTCCTTGGTGAGTCAACTATCTTCACCTACCCTATTTTTCCTGTGTATAAGATGAAAAGACTCCCTGCCTCCTAGAGCAATGCTGAAGAGTAGATGAGATAAATGAGATAGTATATGTAAAGTTTTTAGGCTAGAAACCAACATGTAGTAGGTATTCAGTAGTGGTAGCTCCTATAATAACAACAATGTGTTTATTACAATGTTAGTATAGTCATGTATCACTTCTACTAAGCAAAAATAAAGTTTCCTGCACATCATTCAACATTTACACAAATAAAGTCTACCGAGCCAGCAGTGTTATTACTTAGTAGGTGCTGTATTTGCAGCTCCACAGTGAAGTAGAATAAAATTTCGTTTTGCTGTAAAAAAATTAGATTTTTTTTTTTTAATGATGGGTTCCATTCTCCCAATGTGGCTCCAAGCTTCGTGTTGCATAACCTCCTAGAGGAAATCCTGGAACTGATTTACAAGGGGTGGGAGAATTTGATTTCCTTCGCATTTCTAGAAACCAGGGGAACATTTTCTCTTTGACATAGTTTGGTTAAAGATGTGGTGGTGTTTCCCTGGGATTGAAATGAGATAGCTTGTGCTTCTCTTTTCTCGTTTCTTCTGTAGATCCGTAACCTCACTCTGGATTCTTGCCGTATATACTTGGCACATTTAACATAGATGTACTTTGGATTCGTTTTATGTAGTTCATTATTTAGTATGTCTCTCTCAAACCTACCCTCCTCTTTCTGTGCAGTTATTTTATTTCTAGATCTTTTCCTGTTTACCAGAAATATTCCTCAAAAAGCAGTGAGGTCATTTTCTTGGGCAGGGTTTGAAACTGATTTGTGTTAAAAATAAAATTATTTATAATCTTTATATCCTTGTGATAATGATCCCAAAACACATTTTCTCATGACGTTTTCCTCTGAATGTCTCCTTTTTTCCCAATATACCTCTCCAGTAACTCTGGAATTTTAAACTATTTGGAATGGAAAGAGCAGTTACTTTTGATTTGTTCTCTCAGAATTAAATGGTTATTTAATGTTGGTCCTACTCCTGTTTCGTTTTTGTTGTTTTTTATTCCGTTCATCTGACTGTGTTTCTCTTTCTTTGTTATACTTGTTACCCTGTTATGCCTGTATACTTTGAACTTGGATACTATAACAGATACAGTTGGAACTGAATGGGTTTGTGGTTTGGGATTTGGAAATTAGCGTAGAGCTCTGCTGGGAAGCTTTCACATTTTCTTGATCCGTGTCCCACTTCACTTCTCCCCTCTCTTGGTTCAAGTTTAAGACTTTGTCTTTGGTGTTTATATTCCCATAATTTGCCTGTTTTTCTTTTTTGGTCCTTTTAAATCTTCCCTTTTAAATGCTCCTGTTTTCAATAAGGTATTTGTATCTAAAAATTCTGCAGTTGTTTTTACTCTGAATGTACTTGTAGGAAGTGGGTGGGTTGGGGTGGCTATAGGGATTTGGGAGAGGCTTTGCTGGAGACCGTGGAGGTACTGGTGAGAAGCAGCTCTCTTCGCAAAAGGGCATTACTGTGCAACATTTCTCCTGAATCTTCTGTCATAGGGTAAAAGCTCTGTCACGTGGATCTTGATTGACTGATTCTAGCATTATTACCCTGTTTTGGTCTCATATTTCAAAGTGCAAACTTTCATAGCCCAACAGTTTTTGGACATTTTAGCCACATCCAACTGTTTTCTTAATCTAGCCTTATTATATCCTGGAAGTACACACCGAAGGCCACATGAAAGGACAAATATGATTAATAGTTAACTAGAATATGAGAAGAAAGCTTCTAATGCATATTAAGCAGTGGCATTAAGATATTTATTTTTCTTATGCTCCTATTCACATAAAATCCTTGAAAAAAATACTTCTAAAACATCAAAGCTTTTAAGGAGTAGGCTTCATAAAAATTAGTTTTGGCCCAAATACTAAATGTAAATATTATTAACTGTAGCTCACAAGTAAAAATTTCAAAACTGGTAGGATTATCCTGAATTTTTAATTTACATAAGATAAATACATGAATTGAAAATCTGTTCCTTCCCGTGTTGACACCTTATAATACATAGTAGCTTTTTTTATGAAACATGTGTCCCTGTACATAAACATATACTATACATATACAGTACTGTCCAAAGGATGGATAAAGTTGAAAAGTATATATAAATTTTGAAAATATATGTAAAATATATGGAACTCCACAGAATTCACTATGTATTGCAGTTTAAAACACCAAACAATCCTTCAGTGTCTAATTGGGTCACAGAAAATCCTTTGAAGCTTCCTTACTCATACTGATGCTCTGGCATTGAAAGCTGTAGTGTTAACATTTTCAAAATTATTAGGTGATAAAAATATGGCATAATTTTAAAACAAAGTGCTTATTTTTTAAGTACAAATATTGAAAGAGGCTGCTTATATCATCAGACTCTCAGTAATTGTCTAGCTCTGTTTTACAGTACAACTACACTGTTGTCTAGGCTAAATGAATACATGAGAATAGAAGAGTTGGTCGGCTTCAAACATTTTTAATTCTATACAGTTACTTATTTAAAAATAAGTTCTTTTTATGAATTCCAAAAATTAAACTATAGCAAAAATGTATGTTCCATTTTATTTCATGATGGATTTGAAGACAAGTAGACTATAAAATGCTCTTTGCATTTTTGTTTAGGACATTTTTGACAGTGATTGGTATACCTCTAGAAACCTCATCGGGAGTGCTGACATCATTGTGATCAAATACAACGTAAATGACAAGTTCTCATTCCATGAAGTAAAGGATAATTATATTCCAGTGATAAAAAGGGCATTAAATTCAGTTCCAGTAATCATTGCTGCTGTTGGTACCAGACAAAATGGTAAGTATTTTTTTTTTTAATGATAAGAGTGCAGGTGCCATGTTAACTTTAAATAGTGCTAAGTTCATTAATGGTTAATATGGGGGATGGTTTGTGTGTGGAAAAAATGTGTTCAAATGCCAGCTCTTCATCACTAGATATGATAGTGAGACATCAAAGAAAAGTGTCACAAACTACTGCTGTGATTCTGATGGGTACAAATTTGTCTTCTAAATTGCTCTTCTACAGTAGTGAAGGAAGTTGGTAACTATATTCTTCTGATACAGGAGAGGTCTTGGGCTGGTGCTGAGCTCAACAAGTCTTTTTCTGACATTGTGAAGGTCTGTCCAGTGGGAAGGATAGCCCAATTCTGCATGAGAAGTTGGGCTTATGAGCAGGATTTTTACGTAGCTAGGAATGAGAGCCCAGAAGAGGCTGATGGCACTGCCTGAGAGAGAGGGTCATTTACATCATGGCTGATGGATTCATTTGGTTCAGTCAGTTCCAAAAGTTACAGTTAGATGTCCTAAAGCCACTCAGAATTCACTTTGATTTGGTGCTGGTTTGATAGTTCTTTTTAGTGGTATTTCCTCAGTAAAGCTGTCTATAAAATTTGATTCATTTTTTTTCCTTTCATTAGGGTACAGCAAAGTAAAGGACACAAAGTTCACTAGGTACCATGAAGGCAGCTTAACGCATTTTTACATGTATATGCATCCATGCATCCATCTCACAGGTCAAGATACAGAACATTTACCTCACTGTGGAAGGCTGTCTCATGCCTCTTCTCAGTTAACAGCCCCCCTCCCCAGAAATGACGGCTGTTGTGACTTCTAACAGTATAGATTAGTTTTGCTTATTCTAGAACTTCATACACATGGAGTTATACCATACGTAGTATCTTGTGTCTAATTTCAATTAGCATAATACTGACATCTGTCCATGTTGCACTTATCTACAATTTGTTATTTTGCTGTGTATTTTTCAGTTGTGTGAATGTGCTGTAATATATTTATTCATTCTCCTTTTCATGATGCTCAAGTTGTTTCCTAGGAGTAGGATTTTGGGTCATAGTAATAAGGTAGGTATATGTCTAGCATTAGAAGACACAAATGAAGCAGGCTTGACTGTTCCTTAACCCCACATCCCCTCTACTTCCCTGTTTCTTTTTATTGCTGGCCTCTATTCTTGAAAGAGTCATCCACACTTCCTGAGTCCACTTCCTGACTTACCATTTATTCTTCAGTCCACTACAGTCTGACTTTGACTTTCATAATTACATTGGGTTTGTTCTTACTCAGGGTTACCAGTTAAATGCTTATTGCCAAATTTGATTTCCATTTAATTGATACTTTAATTTATATTTTAATAACAATTTACCCTTTGAGGTTATTCAGACACATCTGTCCTTCCAGTTAAAAAAGCTACTCTTTCTTTCTTGTTTGTTTCAATTCTTTGTCTTCTTACTGGTCAACACCCCCCTGTACCCCACCCCCATGTATTGAACCAACACATCCTTAGTTGTTACCAGGGCTCCATCCTTTGGCTTCACCTCTTCTTGCTGTTTACTCTGACCTTGAATCTGTTAATCTGTTGCTCTACCCTTCTCCTGTGTACACACTGTTGAATACCCAGTCTGTTTCTCTTCCTACCAATATCACCACAGAATCTTCCTGTTTTCTGCTGAATTCCCTGTCCTGTGGAATGATGCCAAGCCTATCCATTCACCCAAACTAGGTTCATCCAACCGAACTTTCTTCCCATTCCCCATATCCAGTGGACTAAGAAGCTCTTTTGGTTTCACATTTCAGATAAACCCCAAATTCATTGCTTTCTCTGTACCTTCATTGGATTTCAGATCTTAGTCCTTTAATTATCTGTCATAGTGGCCTTCTTTTGGCCTAAAGGGGCAGCTCCTGATCTTGTAGGACCTGCAACTACACACGCACACACACACACACTTAGAATGAGAAAAGGAAGCATGACAAGTTGCAAATCTAAAGAGCTGTCAAATACTATAAACATCTAAAAAATATTTCTATTATTTAACAGCTTGACATTTCTTTAATTTTTCTTATATTTGTTTGCATAGTCTTCGATTACTTCTTCATATGATAACCACTTTTGATATTTTATATATAGAGAAGAAAATTATACTTAGTTTTTCTTCCAGTGTATTTCTTCATTCTTCACATCTTTTTGGTGCTGGGCACTATAGTTTGTGTTGTGTTCCTCTTTCAGCTTGACATCTTTTTATTTTAAGAAGATTTTATTCATTTATTTGACACACAGAGAGAGAGAGAGAGAGAGAGAGCGCACAGGCAGGGGGAGTGGCAGGCAGAGAGAGAGAAGCAGGCGTCCTGTGGAGCAGGAGCCTGACTTGGAGCTCCATCTCCCAGGACTCTGGAATCATGACCTGAGCTGAAGACAGACACTTAATCCACTGAGCCACCCAGGTGCCCCCAGCTTGGCATCGTTTTCTCAAACACCAAGTGAGTCTACACAGTGGGTAGCAGAAGCATTGCTGTCCTGTGTATCAGGACAGTTGTCAAACATTTAACTGTACAAGGAAGTGACTACAAACCACAGATAATATCTCACTAAACCTAAATTTAAATTCCCATTAGTAGGATCCCCAAAATGCCTGTCATCACTCCCAAGCTGCCTGACATAAAAGTGAGTTGGAGTGGAAAGAGACAATGGCCTTAAGTGTAGTTAGAACCTCTTATTTTGCAAATTTTACAAAAGTATATAACTATGTGAAAGAATATTGCTCAGGTTTCTCCCACAGCTTTGGAAAGGACCCATGAGACAGGGGCCCTGACACTTAGGCTTCATCAGCTTTATGGTAAATTGACCCTCTCACCTATTCCTGCTTTGCCGCTTTCTGAAATAAATCCTCTCACAATAATCATCCTAGAGTATAAGTCAGATCATGGTAGTCAACACTTTAAGTTATTTAGAAACTTTCTTTTTTTTCCCTTTTATTTGCTAAATTTCAAACCCAAGAAAATTGACCGGAATAGAACAGTGAACCCTAGCGATCTCTCTCATTCTCTCTCTCTCTCTCTCTCTCTCTCTCTCTCATACACACACACACACACACTTTCTCTCTTTCTCTCTCTCTTTTTTTTCATTTGGGAGTAAATTCTAAAATTAATGGGATTTCTTATGTCCTAATTACTTAAGCATGTATTATCTAAGAGCCATTTTCCTTCAACCATAATGCAATTACCATTTAAGAAATGTGACATACTATTATCTATTATACTATTATATATTTTTTGAAGATTTTATTTATTTATTCATGAGAGACACACAAAGAGAGGCAGAGACATAGGCAGAGGGAGAAGCAGGCTCCCTGTGGGGAGCCCACTGGGGGACTCAATCCCAGGACCCAGGGATCACAACCTGAGCTGGGATTACAACCTGAGCTGAAGGCAGACCTCAACCACTATTATACTATTTTTTTTAAAGATTTTATTTATTTATTCATAAAGACACAGAGACAGAGAAAGAGAGGCAGAGAGACACAGGCAGAGGGAGAAGCAGGCTCCATGCAGGGAGCCCGATGTGGGACTTGATCCCGGGTCTCCAGGATCACACCCCAGGCTGCAAGCAGCGCTAAACCACTGTGCCACCGGGGCTGCCCACTATTATACTATTATACTATTATTTTAAGTATAATCCACATTCACATTTTCCCAATTGTTCCAAAGCTGTTTTTTCCTAAATCCAGGATGAAATTAAGGACTATATATTGCATTTAATTGTTATGTCTCTCTAGTCTCTTTTAATCCACAACAGTTCCCCAGCTTCTTTTTGGTCTTTTGTGATATTGACATTTTTAAAGAATTTAAGCCCATTATTTTGCATAATCCTTTAGTTGTGATAACTGTAGTTGCAAAATAGTGATTTTCTATCATTCCACCTACACTTACTAGTTTTTATTCTTCTGTAAATAGAGCTTTCCCTTCTCTCTGCTCCCACATCTTTCTTTTAGAATCATGATTCATGGATTTGTTTTTTTTTTAAGATTTATTTATTTATTCATGATAGAGAGAGAGAGAGAGAGAGAGAGAGAGAGAGAGGCAGAGACCCAGGAGGAGGGAGAAGCAGGTTCCATGCCGGGAGCCCAACGCGGGACTCAATCCCAGGACTCCAGGATCGCGCCCTGGGCCAAAGGCAGGCACTAAACCGCTGAGCCACCCAGGGATCCCCCATGGATTTGTTTTTTATTATTCAGTATTTTATAATCTGTTCTTCTCATTATTCTTTTTATTGCTCATATTATCCCAAATTTGCATGGAGGGAGTCTTTCCAAGCTAGTTCCAATTAATTTTTGAGTGCTTCCTTATTTTCTGGCAGAAGATGTTCCAGGCTCACCTTATATTGCTTGCCCCACACTGGAATCAGTCAGGGAGCCCTGGTTCCATTTAGTGAACAATGATGTTTAGAAACCAAGATCTGGGCTTTCGGGGTGCTCATAAGTTTAAATGTCATTGCTTCAAGGCCCTTTCACTGGATAATCATATATATATATATATATATATATATAACACACATATACATACTCACACATATATATATAAATCCATATTTTTTAATCATGAGTTCCCATTGATATTTTTTTCCAATCCAGTATTTGCATCTCATTTCAATAATTTTCTCTTGTGGAGTCTTACCTAAAATACAAGATCCTTCATTATCTATCTCCTGATTCCTTCTGGAACCTTGTAGGCATGATCTTTTGTATCTTATGTATAGACATACTGAACTACTTGAACTTAATGTCTTTCTTTAGATCTGAGAAAGTCTCAACTTTATGATTTCTTCAGATATCACCTTCCCTCCCATTTTCTCTATTCTGTCCTTTTTTGATGCTTATTAGACTGATATTGAAACTTCTGGATCTCTCCTCTGTTTCTCCTATCTTTTATATTTCCTAACCTTTATTTCTCGGTGTTATATTATAGGAGAATTCCTTGGTCTTTTTTCCCCAGCTCGCAAATTACTTCTGCTATATCTATCCTGCTCTTTTGCATTATTACATTTTGAAAAATTTCCACATCTTTTCATATCCAAGATCTCTAATTGGTTGTTTTTCACAATTTCTTCTTCCTGTTTTAAGAATGTAAATACTTTAAAAAGAAAACCTGTCTCAATTAATTATACTTAAGATTCTGTTTTGAATATTTTATTAAGTTTTGTCTTGAGGAGGGCATTCTAAGTCTTTTCATTTGATGAAATTTTATTACATAGTATGGATACTTCCTAAATGTTGGATAGTTCTTAATTTGCCTAGTTTCGCAGTATAGATTCTCTGTTGGATTAACGCCTTTTTCCTCCTCTGTCCAACTGCTCTTTGAGGTCGGGGTGGAAGTTAGAGCTTATATCAGATCTTCAGGCCTAGCTGCTTCCATTGGGGTCTCCAACTGATGTCCATTGAGTTGTCCATGGGCCTCCATGTTGTTCCCTCGTCTTTGAGCATTGAGTGTTCTTGATGTTGCCCAGTGTGTGACTTCCTACCTGTCCTTTGAGCTTCAGCTTTCCCTCTTTGGTCTTTTGCTATCTGCCTTCGGCCTTTTATACACTCCTAGTTTCTCTCCTCTTAATTTTTGAGTATGTATGTGTGTATCTCCCTTCCTCCTTCCCCCACCCCTCCCTTTTCTTCCTTTCTTCCATTTCTCTCTCACTTCTTCCCTCTCCTCCCCTGTTAATTAATCATTTCTGTGATTTGGCAGGTAGAGGAGTTGCAGTGTGGGCTTAGCTTGCCATTTTGAAACTGGAAGCTAATGTGTTGTTTTTTTCTTACACCCAGACCTCTGCATATGTTGTACCCTCTGGTGGGAGTGCCCTTCTGCACAACCTCTGTTATATCTGCATGACAAATTCATACTTATCCAATAAATCAGTGCCTCTTTGTGAAGACTTCCATAATGCCCAGGCAGAGTTAATTTCTTTTCTTCTGTTCCCATAGTGATTTTGCATACCTTATTTTAGTATTTATTATATTCATTATATTATGATTTGTAGTCATGCCTGTGTTGGCTCAGTTGACTGTGAGTTTTTATCTGTGTTTATTTCTTGTTTGATATATGGTAGGTACTCAGTAAACATTTGTTCAATTAGTGGATGACTGGTTTTAAACAAGGTGAAATTAATTTCACATGTAGATGTGATTGCAAAGTAATTACCAAGCTAAATCTGATATTCAACCTGAGGACTCTTATTGCTTCCCTCCCCCAGTCCCTTGCAATACATGAAGCTGTGCTGGGTATTCTCCTGGTAATTCCTCTCTTGAGTTCTTGAGAATTAGTTCAGCAAACACAGTCAGTCTCATCGTTTTCCTTTGTTACACATGTTTTGATAAGCTTGACTTGTATGTCGTCTTCATCACATTTGGCTTTGAACACATTTTTGGCTTTTACTAAATATTGAACCTCTTTAAAAGAGAATTTTTTTTTCTGAACATGCCTAGGGGTATCCATAGCCTTAAGCTCCCCAAAATGAGCGTCCCATCTTCTTTTCCTTTTGAAGTCCTGATGGAGTTGAGTAGATTGCTAGGCTAGAATTCTTAAAAGGATTTCTAAAACTTTCTTGCAGTTGACAACATTGTAAAAATCACCCTGCAGATCCTGAAAGCCACTGCTTTCAAAGAGATGCCATTCATTTTAATTTCAGATTTATAGTCTGTTTGCTTTAAAAAAAAATAGGTATTTGTGATAATACTTTAAGAGATGTCACATAAGAGAAGGAAAAAAAGACTACAATGTTAACTAGAAGTGTAACACTGATGCCTAGAGTCCCTGTGACCCTGAGGTAGGCTCACAGGAGTGATCTCCTTTAGAAGGCACCACAATTTAAATTGTTTTGGCTCCTCTGATGGTTCCTGATGAAATGTATGATGTAGGTTTATTTATTCTATAAATGTTTTGTTGGTTTTCATGCTATTCCCGCCACATGATCACAAGATTTTTTTTTTTCCTTTTGGGCGCCTGTGAACAAAAAGCAATGTCTTCTGTGCCACAGAGGAGATGTGCAGACTAGATGTGAAGAGGAATTTTCTAGGACTGTGTGTCAGTAGGGGTCATTGGCTATACACAACGGAAAACCCTGCTCAGCTGAGTTAAACCTGAAATTAGTTGGATTTTCTTTCAAATCCAGATTTTTTGTTAAAAATTATTTTGTATTATGTTCACTTAATTTTTCACTTGAAGCACTTTGCTTTATTTTTGTTTAGAATACAGTCTAATAAGATGGACTGCCTACTCACCCCATTCCATCAACATAAGGAGAGCTTTGTAGATATAAGAAGGCCTCTGTCTTCAGAAAATCAAAGGCACTGTTTATGAATCTTTGTAAAGAATGTGAAATACCAATGTGTTATTTTTCAAGATAGGCTAAATTCTGTATAAAAACTTTATGTGCTCCGAACCCAAAATGATCTTGGAAAAAGTAAAAGGAAAAACTTAGAATTCATTGCTTAATTTTGAAAACCCATGCTTAACTTTGAAATCACTGTATCTTTACTCAGGCTAAATTTTTATCTTACCTTTTGATATCATTTTGCTTATCAGATAGAGCAAGTAGCAGTTTTATCATTGTTTTTCCATCTCTGACACACAAAGAAACTTGGACAAGTCACCTATCTTCCCTGAGCCCCAGTTTCCTCCTCTGCAAAAGGAGGATGTAAATTTCTGAGCTCTAAAGTGCTTTCAATGAAGCTGAAATTATTGACATAGTTACATACATAGCACACACATGCACTAAATATCCTTTGTGTACATATACATGCTCCATCTATATGCACTTCATTGGTAAGGAATTTGTTGTGGGAAGTTGCCCAAATGTCCTTTTAAAAAAAATTTTTTTTAGATTTTATTTATTTTAGAGTGTGCGCAGGCATCCAGTGGAAAGAGCAGAGGGAGAGGGAGAGCGAGGAGGAAAGAATCCCAAGCAGACTCCATGCTGAGTGAGGAACCCCATATGAGGCCTGATCTCATGACCCAGAGATCATGACCTGAGGCAAAATCAAGAGTCAGGCGCTCATCCGACTGAGCCACACAGGTGCCCCCCAGATGCCTTTTGAGGGCCACTGTGCTTGCTCTGTTACCAGACTGTTGGCTGCTGCTGGCGCACAACTGAGTACCTTCCCCAGCATTACCTTGTGCTGATAGAAGCTGCTTGCTTACTCAAGGTTCTTCTGCCCTTTCTCTGGTAGCCCTCATCTAATCACTGATTATCTTGATTGATTTAGGGACACAAAGGTCCAGCTGCTTTTCCCCAAATGGAGAACCATTCCAAAGGGCCATCTAAGCCCCAGCTCCCCTCCCCAGTAGGATCCACTGAGATCTTTGTTGTAGCTATAATGCAGTTCGAATTTTTTCTCTGCCCAGTCCCACTTCCCTCACCCCTGAGAACATTTGTTCCCAGGATCATCCCCCCAATAAACCTCTTGCACACCAGTCTCCATCTCAGAGTCTGCTTCCCAGGGAAATGAATGTATAATGACATGCATTTCTAGGAATGGATTTATCCTTCTCTGACTTGGCTGCCATTTAAACAATGATATACATGATGTGTCATGAAACAAAACAAAGCTTGCTGATGAATTCAGAGTTGAACATACATTTTTAGCTTTTTTAAGGGAGTGTCCTAAATAGATATGTTGATCTACCACCTGCCCAGCCATACATCTGTATGTGGTATAACCATGATGTTTAGGATAGTTCACGTTTTGAATAAATACTTTTTATTCCTTTAGTTTATGATTTTTTTAACCTTGAAGAGAAAGATAAAGTGATTGAATTTTATTTCTGCAGTCAAATACTTTAGGGTCTAATAATTGAAATGTCTGGATTAAGAAGAATGTACTTTAAATTAAACCTACAAAATTTTGCAGTCTTGATGATTCAGATCTAATCAACTCAGTGAATGTATTTCAAGTTTATCACAAAAAAAGAAGAAAAAAAGGAAAGGAAAGAAAGGAAAAGAAAAGAAAAAAGAGCTAACCGGCTGTTTTCCATGGTTTCTGTGGGCAACTAAAATTGTTAATTTGTATTGATACTCAGCATGTCAGGGTTGTATAAAAGGAAACATGTTCTGCATTCCTAGCTGATTGGTTTAATTGCTATAAAAACCTTGATAATACATACTCACTTATTTTTAAGTTCTTCTGTTTTCTAAAATACTGTTTATTCTTGCACTTAAAGCTTGTTTACATTAGGGACATTTCTATTAACACTGATGCTTTTTATTCAGAGTCTAGTGGATAGTGGAGTACCAAATGCCCCTGAACTATGGTTCTGTTATGAGCTGTTGATTTGTTGAAGGTTCAGGTTGCCTGTACATATTTCTTTTCATGTTTAATTTCAAAGCTCTTTGTTCCTCATATTTACTTTCTCAGAAGAATTACCTTGTACATGCCCGCTGTGTACCTCAGACAGAGGGAGCTGTGTCAGTACAAGTGAAGGGATCCAACTTGCTAAAGAACTAGGAGCAACCTATCTTGAGCTACACAGCCTTGATGACTTCTACATAGGGAAGTATTTTGGAGGAGTGGTAAGTGATAATCCCTGTTACATAAATTAAAGTCATTTGTCAGGTTGGCTGTGAAGCTATTTTCTAGAATCTCAGTTAGAACTTTAGTTTTATTTTATTTTATTTTTTAATTTTTTTATGATAGTCACAGAGAGAGAGAGAGAGAGAGAGAGAAGAGAGAGAGAGAGAGGCAGAGACATAGGCAGAGGGAGAAGCAGGCTCCATGCACCGGGAGCCCGATGTGGGATTCGATCCTGGGTCTCCAGGATCGCGACCTGGGCCAAAGGCAGGCGCCAAACCGCTGCGCCACCCAGGGATCCCAGAACTTTAGTTTTAAAAGCATGATTGGTTTTAGCTTTGAGAAATAAAATGAGAGTAGAAATGAGATTTCGTCAGAGTAAAATTATTTTATTTTTCCCTGCAAATGAAGCATTTTCTATTGTCTAATAGGATTTTTTGAATTTTCTACTTGGTGGCAATGTTGTTTTTTGGTGTACATATCAAAAGCATATTTACTTACACAAACCTGTGATTCAGTTTTATTCATAATCTTCATACGTTCAGTGAACCTCGCTACCCGAACCATTGGGCCTGTGAAGATCTCCTTCATGTCTGTCTACTATTTGAAAAGAATGATTTTTCTTTCTCTGTGTGCTTTGGAAAGATTTTGTATATTCCTAAAGGATTCAGCTCAAAAATATCCATAGAAACTACTTATACAAACAGCTTGTTGGGGCGCCTACATGGCACAGTTGGTTTAAGTGTCCGACTCTTGATTTCTGCTCAGGTCATGATCTCAGGGTTGTGAGATGGAGCCCTCATGTCAGGCTCTGAGCCCAGTGGGGAGTCTGCTTCTCTCCCTCTCCCTCTGCCTCTTTCCCTGCTTGCGTTTACAAGCCATGTCTCTCTCTCTCTCTCTCAAATAAATAAATAAATAAATAAATAAATAAATATTTAAAAACATAGCTGGTTGTTGGATATTTGAGAAACTGGGATTTGCTCTCTCTATAGCTACAGCATTTACTGGGTCCTGTAGACATTTTGGAGGCCTGTCTTAGCACACAGCACCTTCCCTACAGTATTAGGACTTCATGGTGCTTGGAGAATACTGTGGAGTGGTATCATGTAACTATTAACTGACTTTGGAACTATCTTTTCAATCCTCTAAGAAGTGACTCCACTCAACAGAAATGGTAAATATGAAGAGGTCTAAACCAAAGTAAACCCCCCATTGGGCAGGAACACTTCGGACTTTTCCATTAGTTCCATGGCTCTTCATCAAGTATTCTTTCCAGTATACCAGAATATTCATTATGTAGATTCATGTCAAACTGTTGAGGTCTCCATAGATGACTGTAGAAATTTAAGTTACCAGGCTCCAAATAAGAAACAAAGATAAAATACGAACCAAATATAAATGGTTCTGATTTCTGTCATGTATAAGTGGCTATTATTTAGCCCACTAATGTAAAGAAATATTAATGATACAGCATTAAGGAAGATAGACTCACAATATTGATATTACAATGACTATGATAAACTTTCGTCCTATTTATTTACAGTGACAAGTAAAAAGTAGAAAGGTTAGAAAGGTAGAGAGGACTGACATCTAATTTTCCTATGAGAGATATTATATTGTAGTGGATTAAAAACAATCTGAATTTAGTCTAAGAATCTTGCATTTCCCAGAAATACCTAGGGAACTGGGGTGAAATGACAGTTCGGTTTCATTGTGGAGAGGAGAGGGGGCTGGTTCTCTTGGAGTGTGTAGGTTTCCTTGTTCCCGGCTCCACTTCCTGAACCCGACATCGCAGGGTCACTCTTCCCACCTGCCAACTCCCACTTGCCTCCGCTTGCTTCTGCTTCCTCCTCCTTGTTTCTCTTTGCTCCTAACGCCTGGTGTTGCAGTTACGGTTGGAGGCATGATAAGAACTGAAGATGTGGTCAGGGTTGGAAGAAAGACATGGCAGTTTCTTTTATCCTTAAGACTTGGTGAGAATATAGAAATAAGATCAGAATGATCCCTTTTGAGATTGTTGAATAGTAAAATACAGCTTAGATCTTGACTGTAAGAAATGGTGGTATTTGCAGGAGTATAGATGGAGGCGATAATGTCAAAGTGAAAGGAGCATTTAAAATCTTGTATTTAAGAATCAAGGATGAAGACCTGGGCAAGAGGAGTGTGTGCCCTTTATCTTTCAAGAGCCCCATCTGGCACTCCCTCCAGTTGCACCACCATGTCACAAGTTGATGGAGCCAAGGGGTATGCCCTCCTGGAGCTAGTAGCCCTTCTAGGCCTGCACCATTGGGTTAGGGTAGCCATTACCCACAGATAGCTATAGCTATTTATATTTAAATTAACTGAAGAAAATTTAGTTCCTCAGAGGCACTACTCACATTCAGGTGCTTAATAGCTACATGTGCCTTGTGGCTACCGTATTTGATAGCACAGATATTACAGAACATTTCCATTAATGCAGAAAAGAAAGTTCTGTTGTTACAGTGCTACAACCATGTTCCAAATGCAGGACCCCAGAGTTCTCTGACCAGCGGTCTGTTTCTCAGGCCTGCGCAGGCCTTTTTCCAGGGTTGATCCTCCTGCAGGTGGACTGCATTACTAGTGTGTGTGTCCCCAAGTCTGAAAGGTGGCCATAGGATGATGGCATAGGAGGTTTTGGATATGCAGGCCTGGATGTCTGCTCGTATGCAAAAAGCTCCTTGAGGCTTGGGATGGAGCAGGGGTGAGACAAGAAGGGGAGGTCTTGGGATCTGGAATTAAGGCCAGCTTTCCCTGTCCTACCTGAAGTTCTGAGAAGTCTGAGAATTTAAATCCAAACCTGGCCTTCTAGGCTTTTATGATGTTATATCTGTCAAAGTAAGAGGATATAACGTCTTTTACAGATTAGTTTGTTTTCTTGATTTACAGAGTTTAAATATTAGTGTATGTGGTACGTGGGCCTCTATTTGTACCTTTGCCCCAAGCCTTACAGCATAAGGCATATAGGCCTTGTGCTGTGCAAGTGAGTGTGGTTAGGATTTTATTTTTAAGATTTTATTTTTTAGTAATCTCTACACCTAATAAATGGATCTCGGATTGAAAATCTCAAGATCAAGAGTTGCATGCTCTGCTGACGTAGCCAGCCAGGCACCCCAAGATTTTTAATTTATAACATAAAGGATGTATTTCAGTGTAATTTATTCAAGAAAAAATAGAGCATATGTAAACATCCCTAGTTGATCTGAGCATCTGTGACATAGAGCCAGGTCTGTCCAGCCTTGAATTTCTCTAGTATTGACTGCTGCGGTTGCCCACGAGATGGTTATTGACAGTCACACAGTTGTACTGCTGGACTTTCTTGATTATTCAAGAGAATAAACAGTTCCTTCTTGAATAGATAGTTTATTTATGCTTGGACAAGCACAGTCTGTTCAACTTGATACATTTTTTAAAAAAGAAAAACAAATTGTTTAAGTGTTTGCTAAAGCATACATGTAGATGGTACTGGAATTAAAAACATTTGGCAAATGTGATTTGGGGTACAAATAATTACGTCAGATACATAATTTTGTTGAAGATTTAGTTTTAATTTAATTAAAATTTGATTCCTGTTTTAGTTGGAGTATTTTATGATTCAAGCCTTAAATCAGAAGACAAGTGAAAAAATGAAGAAAAGAAAAATGAGCAACTCATTTCATGGAATTAGACCACCTCAGCTTGAACAACCAGGTGCATTTACTAACCAATGTCTAGACATTCAGTTGATATTTATTATAGATCACTTCACAAGTGTTAGAGCAGTTGTTCTCAAATTTGGAATCTGCTTTTAAAATAAGTTTCCAGGTGATTCTGAAGTAGCTGGTACTTTGGACCCATTTTGGACTGTCTTAAACTTGAGTCTACAAGCTTCTTTTAAAAATAGTGTATGTGGTGAAGAGCTATTTTAGATTAAAGTCTAAGAGAAATGATAAGCAAATGCAGTGCATGAACCTTGATTGGATACTGGTTCAATAAAAACATCTCAAAGACTTTTCTCAGGACAGTTGGGTAAAATTTTAATATGGACTAGAAATTAGGTGACATGAGGGAATTGTTAATTTTTGGATGTATGGTAGTGGTTCTATCATTAATGGAAGAATGTCCTTATTTTTTGGAAATGAGTATTAAAGTATTTATAGCTGAAATATCTTGATGATTACAACTCTACTTTTACATGATTCAGGAATATGAGTCTGTGTGTAAGTGTGTATCTACCTAGAGATACGGCAAACATGACAAAATGTTATACAGAATCCAAGTGAAGGTTATATGTGTGCTTATTGTATCATTCGTTGAACTTTTTCAAATGTTTGAAAATGTTCATAACCCAAGGTTAGAGGAAAATAAAAATAAATATACACAATTTTTATCAAAATTAATTTTCATCAAAAATTTTTAATAACTCTGTCATAGAGATAGAGTAATAGTACTCATGCAGACCAATTTGCTGTGGATATTGTTTTAAAGTGTAGGTACTTGATAAGTACTTGTTAAATAAATCAACATAAATTAAAAATCAAGAAAACATAAATTAGTATGGGAATTTTTTTTTTTAATGCAGATCTATAGATCCTAAGTAATACACAGGTTGGCTTTGAATTTTCCGGTGTGCAAAGTGAGAGGGGAGACTTGGCTGGTTACATAGCAAACCTACTGCTTTAAATACTTTTTGGATAAGAAGATGGGTGGGGAATAGCCAAATAAACAATGGAGACAGATAATTTCTTGGTTCTTATTATTAAAGAAGAGAAAACACAACAGTTGATCTGAGAAAGCAAAGCAATTCATGCCATTTAGCACTAGAAGAAATTTCTCACGTGGGTCTCCACTTGGGGCACCGGGTCACCTAGTGAACAGGGCTTTCAGAAGTGTCTGGTCAGCAAATGCAGTCTCAGTTCTCACTGGTGGTTCTTCGTGCCCTTCTGTTAGGTATCCCACTGAACATCGTTCTGGTGCTTACTTGTTCTAAGAATGGACCCGCGGCTCCCGGGCATGTGGCTTTCAGGTTGTTCTTAGCCATCCAGGGTCTGGGAGGTACCTGAGGCAGCAGAGGGGGAAGCAAGAGTGGGGTGTAGGTCAGGAAAAGCCTAGCCACCAAAGTACTGTGTTATTATCGATTTTAGAGACCGAAGGTTTGCTTTAGAGTAAAGAATTTTTCTTCCTAAAGAAGTTTGAATTCTACTGGTTTAGTAGATACGTATCTTTGCAGCAACTCTTTACCGATAACCCTTTCCTCGGCTCAGCTTAGGATAAAAGCTAGACAGCAGATATTTTATAGTTAGGGTCTGTGATGAGGGCCTAGGATGCGATCCTCTGTGGGGATGTTCTCAATTGCCTGAAGGCTAATCTCTCTTTGTTAGTGATCAAACTAGGAAATGGAAGGTTACATACTTTTTTTTTTTTTGAAATTAGGGAGTCTCGCCAACACTGTACTTGAGGTGGGCTGAGGGGGAAATGCTGGTTCTCGTTTTACTAGGAGGAAAAAAATACTAATTTTAGAATAAAAATAAAATGGTCAAGATGGTTTCAAACAACGGAGTTTAAGACTCCGAGCCCTGGCTTTGGAAGGTTGCAGTTTTAACAATTTAATTTTGACAGTTTTTAACCCCACCAGCATTTCCAAACCCCGGAGGAATACGACTTCAAATGCGTGGTTGGGTTCTTCAGAACTTGTTCAGTAATTTGAATTTTTTTATCAGGTGAAAGTAAGGACTGATAACCACCAACATACTGAAATTCAGTATTTGGAGAGAGATTTTATTTGGGGACATACAAATAGTAAAAAGCACTGTTTTTATTGCTCTTAATGGAATTAGTACAATTTCCATTTGCACTATAAAAAATACAGTATTTCTGTGACTATTATCTCAGGATAACCAATTTATATGTGTTTACAATTAGATTGTTATACAAAATTGCTGTCTTTGGTAGGTCACAAATGGCCAAGTATTGGCAATTTCATATGGCTCAACTCAACAATATTAAGAAAATATTATTTTGTCGTGCTTAAAAGAAACCTGAAATGATTGTGTAGACCTAAAGAATAACTTATCACTTTTATTTTGTTTTTTTGGAACAGAAAAAATGCCTGTCTTAAAGGCTGAAGCATCGCATTATAACTCTGATTTAAATAACTTGCTGTTCTGCTGCCAGTGTGTGGACGTGGTATTTTACAACCCAGATTTAAAGGAAGTTGCTGAGGCCCACAAGATTGTTCTGTGTGCCGTAAGCCATGTTTTCATGCTACTTTTCAACGTGAAGAGTCCCGCTGACATTCAGGATTCCAGTATCATCCGGACAACCCAGGACCTCTTCAGTATAAACAGAGACACTGCATTTCCAGGTGCTAGCCAGGATTCTCCAGGCAACCCGCCCTTACGTGTCATTGTTAAAGACGCCCTCTTCTGTTCCTGTTTATCGGACATTCTGCGCTTCATTTATTCAGGTATCCTGGTAAATGGTTCTGGTACTTCTCTTAAGTTTTTAAAAGGAACCATGTCTCTGGTCCTCAGATGTATTGGTTAGTGTCACATTTATCTTCTTTCTATCATCTGAGGTAAGGATTATGATCCTAACATGAAATAGTCTTAGTGGTATATATATAAATTGTTCAAGCTTTCCATCTTCCTTGTAAGTTTATTTTCCTTGGTTTTACATCTACTTGTGAAAATAACTTCTTTTCCTCCTGAGCAGATATGTTAGTATTTTAAATATCCAAAATGTGAAAAATATAAGAATTTACCGTTTAGTCTAAGTCTAAAGAAACAAAATTTTCAAAGTGTGAATGAAAATAAGTATCTACATCTTTTAAAAATATTTATTTATTTTAGAGAGAGGCAGCAAGAGAGAGGGTGTGCAGAAGCATGCACAAGAGAGAGCATGAGCGAAGGAAGGGGCAGAGGGAGAGAGGAAGCCAACTCCCCAATGAGCGAGGAGCCCAATGTGGGGCTTGGTCTCAGAACCCTGAGATTATGACCCTGAGATCATGACCTGAGCCAAAACCAAGAGTCAGATGCTTAACCGACTGAGTCACCTACATGCCTCAGTATCTGCATCTTAAAAGCTGGCTATTTATTCACTTTTCTGTTTTACTCTTAGATTTTGGATATAATTGAGAGAATTTAGCAAAGTACCTGCATTCAGTTTAGGAACTGGAAATAATACCTAAAGTTAGTTTAAGGCTGAGATCTGATCAACCTTGGCTGTTTTATTTTATTTAATTAGTTTGCTTATTTTGAAGATTTTATTTTTAGGTAATCTTGACCCCAAGTGTGGGGCTTGAACCCACAACCCCAAGATCAAGAGTCACACACTCTATCAACTGAGTCAGCCAGGCACCCCAACTTTGACTAGTTTATATTTTACTTTTTTTTCTTACTGTGTGCTTATCTTTTTAAGATAGGGCTTATCAATTATTTTTCCTCTTGTCTTATTTATTTATTTATTTATTTATTTATTTATTTATTTATGATTTTATTTATTTATTCATGATAGACAGAGGGAGAGACAGAGAGAGGCAGAGACACAGGCAGAGGGAGAGGCAGGCTCCATGCAGGGAGCCCGATACGGAACTCGATCCTGGAACTTCAGGATCACGCCCTGGGCCAAAGGCAGGCGCTGAACTGCTGAGCCACCCAGGGATCTCCTCTCTTGTCTTTTTAAATACTTGTACCTGCTATATTTAAAAAAATAGAAGTTTTATCTGAGTCATTTTTGCCAGTGCATTGAAGGTATCACATCCAAGTGTCCCATTTAAGAATGGAAAATAATTGGTATAAAATGATTTTTAAAGAAAGCATCTAAATAGAAAATTTCTGAGACCTTTCTTTAATTTTTCACTTGGAATCATGTACTGATGAAATATTAAGTTAAGGTCACTCCTCTTGAATGTGGATGGAGAAACATTTATAATCTATTTTTAGACTTCAGAATGGGGGGCAGATAAGTTTATAAAGGTTTGCAAATAAAGTGCTGTTTCATATTTGTAAGAAACTTTTGGATAGTCTTAATTTGAAATAATTGATGTTAAAATAATATTTTTTTCATTTGGGCTTTTGTTACATAGTTTTATTATAAGTTAAAATAAAAATTAATGGTTTTAAAAAGTACAGTATGAAGTATATTGATTTCATATTGCACTATGAAGATTTAAGTGGATTTAAATGTATATATATATGAGGGTGCCTGGCTGGCTCAGTCAGTAGCTAGAGCATACACCTCTTGATGTTGGGGTCTTGAGTTCAAGCCCCACATTGGTTGGAGAGATTACTTAAAGATAAGTTAAAAAAAAAACCTCTCTGTATATACCCGTACCTACATAGGGGTAGAATGGTGGTGGTAGGTCTTAAACCCATTATTCAGTGAGTACTGGCTTAGAAGAGGCATAAATAACCACTCCTACAGAGCACACCAACACAGTGCCTTCAACATCGCAGGTTTTGTGTTGGTTGAATTAATGAGTAGACTCTAGTCGCTGTGAATCATTGCACGAATAAAACAGACTAGTGAAACACTTCATTTAGTACTACAGATTTCCATGTTTAAACTTTGAGTCTCACAGCTTAGAATCTAAGGCTAATTCTGAAAAACAGAAATGTGTATATTTTAAAAGTAAAAATGTCTTTAATGATGTTTAGAGAACTATGAAGTGTTTGACTTTTCAATGAGGTTACTTTTGAAATTATGAGTTACTCAGCAAGTTTACTACAGTATCTATTGAATACCTTCAAAGGCACATGAACACTTTGAAGTCAGTTATATCCTCTTTAACAAGGTAGCAATAAAAGTTAGTTGTATCTCCAGTGACAGACCTGCTTGTCTATTTGCAGAGAGTGATTTCTTTTTAAGTTGCAAAATTAATACATGTAGATGGAAGAAAAGGGGAAGGAAAACGAGTTCTTTCCTCAGCCCCCTTTCAGGAAACATGCATTAAGGAAAATGTAATCTTTAGTAACTGCTGTTTTCCAGGAACCACACAGTTTGCCATGGCTGGAGCATAGCGGGAGGTGAAGGCTTGCAGGCGACGAGGCTGGCAAGCTGACTGGAAGCTGTTCATAGAAGCTGTTCTAGAATTCTAAGCATGATCAGACTGGGCTTTGGCAAGCTCATCTCTGATGACAGTAGGAGGACAGAGTAGAGCAGGCAAGACAGGAGTTTAATAAGGAAGTGCCGTTACTCTGGAGATCAACCTCAGGAAGGCCATTATTCTGACAACAGGTGTAGGTGCTACCGCTTGTCCGTCATTTGGACCAGTGCTTTTCAAATTGATATGCATGCAAGTGAGCTAGGGATCTTGTTCATGTGCAGATTTTTTTTTTTATTTTTAAGATTTTATTTATTTACTAGAGAGAGAAGAGAGCATGAGCAGGGAGAGAGGCAAAGAGAAGAGGAAGCAGACTCCCCACTGACCAGGAAGCCCAACATGGGGCTCAATCCCAGGACCCTGGGATCATGACCTCAGCCGAAGGGAGGTCTGAGTTGAGGCAGACACTTAACCAACTGAGCCCCCCAGGCGCCCCTCAGGTGCAGATTCTGAGTCAGTAGGCCCATGGGTGGGGCATGAGGTTCTGCATTTAGCAGTCTCCCAGGTAATGCTGATGCTTTGGACTACATGCTCTGGGAAGAACTGGGTGCCAGGCACAGCCAGGGGAATAAGAGCCTGGCATTTAGTCTAGAGGCCCAGCAGAGGGACCCAGTTATCAGTCTCAGGGCACAAAGTCAGAATGGGGTCAGCTGCAAGACTGACTCATGTGAGTTCTTGGGAACTGAAGCCCCTGCCTGAGTGTGGGGCAGGTGGGTGCTTTGTGGACAGGTGAAAACTAAATGAGCCTGGGAATAGCAGTTAGAGGCAGAGGTGCATCATCATGGCAAGGAAAGCTTGCTACGGCCCTTGACCACTTCAGAGCCCAGGCTTCCCAACCTGACACGGAGCTGTTGCATTTCTGCTCTGTTTGTTCTCTCCTTGTATGTCAAGACCCAGAGAAGAGGTGGTGTCAGGTAAGAGCTGGGCCACAGACCATTGACCTGAGGCTTCAGGGAGACCCCGATGCTTTGAGGAGCAGGGAAAATAAATGCTTTAGCAGGTACTTACTACTTATACTGTATTAATGGAGTATAACCTCAGACTCAAACAAAAGTGATGTTTAAATTATGTCTTTTTTTAAAATTATGTTTAAAAAGATACTAAAGTTGTATTTGTATGGTAAAGACAAGTTTGTAAAAATGGAGAAAATTTGTTAAGAAAAAAAAATCACAATTCCTACTCTTCAGATGTCTAAACACTTATTGTTTTGTTTTATCCTCTAGTCTTTGTGCATAGATTACCGTTTATTTAGGAAATATTTTTTTATCAGGGGCACCTGGATGGCTCAGTCCGTTAAGTCTCTGCCTTCGGCTCAGGTCATGATCTCAGGGTCATGGGATCGAGCCCCACATTGGGCTCCCAGCTCAGCGAGGAGTCTGCTTCCCCTTCTCTGTCTGCCCCTCCCCCTGCTTATGTTCTCTCTCTTGCATGCTCACTCTCAAATAAATAAAATCTTTAGGGAAAAAAATATTTTTTATCAAATCAAAGGAAAATTTTAAGCATACACACACACATACACACACACACACACACACACACACACACATATATATATTTTTAGAGACTTTAATAAAGAGGCCAGGCTTATGAAATTTTTTGTTTTGCTTGTTTTTCTTGCTGCTGCTGTTGGTCATTTTAAAACTTTTGAACCGAGCACAAGTTTTAAGACCAGTTATGCAGTGGTTTCCTCATAGAAGCCCTGGCCTACCCACAAGTTATGTTAGGGGGGCAGTGAAGACAGGGGCTGTCTGTACTCGTGTCTGTAGGGTTGGTAATGCCAGGGTGAACTCCATAACACAGCATGGCTTGCTCAGGAATATTTCCCCTGAGCAAACATGGACTGAAAAACCATCTTCAATCTATCACCTACTTTTTTTTTTTTAACCAAATTACAAAGAATGTCTTAATTTCCTCTAAATAAGATACTTCTTTTTAATCTTCAGGAATTTGAAATTTTCTATATATGTCACTATGGATGTTTGGGTCCTGTATTTAGGAAAGGTCAGTTAAATGGTCTGGTTAACATAAGGCTCCAGTGTATTCTCCTATTCAGGTTTCTAAATAAATAGACACAGTAGAAGTATGTGATTTGTGTATGTTAATTTTCCATTAGATAACAGCTCACACTGTATACTATATAAGGGCCGAAAGACTATTACTCAGAGAGAAAGAGTGAGGCCAGCAGTTTGCGGGTCTTCATCTAGTCATCCTTTATTGGCATACGGTGTGACATTCTTGCAATACTTGATAGTCATTATGCTTGCAAATTCCTGACTCACACAATTTCAGATGGTTAGGAATTGAAATGTATGTAAGAGCCTCAGGAATTTTGCTTTGAGCTCTTCATACCACAGATGGCCCTTAGAATTTCACATCTTGTTGAAATGCCACCAGAGTAAATGAACATGTTGAAATGAGTTTTCATCTTCAGCTTGCCTAGTATCTTCCAACTCTTGAAATTATTCTGCGGTATGCTCTTTTCTGCACTGCCTAAAAATGCAGCTTGCATGCATGAGTATACCATGCTCCCTAAGAACTTCAGTCAGTCAGTGCTCTGAGAAGTTAACTAAATAGAAAATCCCAGTCAGTTATGCAAGATGAGTGAGTTCTAGAGATCTGTACAACATCATGGCTATTGTTAACAATACTGTATTGTACACTTAAAATTCTGTCAAAAAGATCACATGTTAGAGGTTCTTCTTTTTAAAGATTTACTTATTTATTTTAGTGGGGGAGAGAGATCTGGAGGAGGGGCAAATGGAGAGAGAGAATCCTCTAGCAGACTTCTTGCTGGCCATGGAGCCTGATGGGGGCTCAATCCCAAGTCCCCAAGATCATGACCTGAGCCAAAATCAAGTGTCAGACACTTAGCTGACTGAGCCATCTGTAGGCACCCCAGGTGGTAAACGTTTTTACCACAATTTAAAAAAAGAAAAGAAAATCTTTAAGTATAAGGATTATTGCTTAATTTGGACCAAAGCATGTCAAAGATGACTCATTAGCATTTCTAATTATAAGAACAGCCCAATCCTTAGAGTGCCCTATGAACTTGTCTTACTTTCATTTTTAGTTACTGAATCTTTCTATGTCTATTCTCAGATAAATGAGTGGCAGAGATAGAACTCCATGGCATTTACCTGCTGTTAATTTAGGGATTTACCTGCTCTTAATCCCATGTATTTTGACTTAATTCTTGCTTTCTCTCAAATAATATTCTGAAAGGAAATACTGTGTAGGTATTTGTTAGTACAATTTATTTTTTTAGGAGATAATATCTGTTGTCTCCCTTAGCATGTGTGAGTGTAAACTATCAAAAATACCTACTGTTTGCCACATGCTGCTGATCCTGGTTTTTGATCATGGGTAAAATGTCTGAAGAAGAACAGTGATCATTAGCACTCTGTGCACCTTAAAGTCATCTATGAGCCTTTTAAAATGATGTCTGGGCTCCAGCCCCAGAAATTCTAGTTTAATTGGTCTGGGAATGATATCTCCTTGATGGTATTTTATGAAAGATCTTGGGTAAATGTAAGGCACAACTATAGCTGAGAATCACTGGCATACAGTAAATTCTTTTGATCTGGGTTCTGTTGGATTCTCAGGAGTTCTTTAACTTCTGACATTTTAATATAGACTGTAATGTCTATGTGCGTATGGGAAATTTTCTGGAGACACAGTGCAAAGAGTTTAGCAGATTGCAAAAGGAGTATGCGACTTTAAAGTTAAAAATCCTTAGTGCAGAAAAATGAAAACAAAAAACACGGACATTTCTAGATTGCAAACCTTTGGGAATTCGAGGGGGAAGGGAGATGACAGTGAAGTCAGAAAAAGAGCATCAAAGGTAGGAAGAAGCAGTGGTGTGCTGGAGCTGGCTGGCACTGGCCTGTGAAAGCTGATTGTATTTATCTCTTCCCAACTCTGCTCTGTAATGTCATGTTGGTGGCATGAATTTGGCCATGGTGGGAATATTTGCACCACAGAGGTTGCAAATAGCCTAGATCAGGGCTCTCTTTCCCTCTCCCACTCTCTAGAAAATATGCAGGTTAAGTAAGAAGTTTAAAGATACTCTAGAGTGCCGAGTGCTACAGGGCTCGACTGTAATGACACCTAAGAGCCACTGGACTATCACTTGACTCTTCAAAGTAGCTTTGAATCAGTTGGCTGAGTCTGGCTGCAATTGCCTAATCTCATTGGTTCAGTAAATCTTTATTATGTGCTCTCTCCACCCCTAATGTTCATGAAGACATCTGGCAAAGTTCTGGATACAGAAAAGGGGACATCAGAAGAAATAGATTGAGAGATCAAAAAGGATCATGAGTTACACAGAGGTGAAATGACTTGCTGAAAGTCACACCAGTAATGAATGGCAGAGATAGAACTAGAGCCTGGGTCTTCCAATTATGCCCGCCCACCCTACCCCTTGGTTAATTATGTTTTTAGGAGCTAGGACTTCCTGTAAGCCATGAGATAGATAGGAGTCATCTCTTCACATATTGTCATCTGAACCATACTTTTGGAAACTTATCAGCATTAAGTACTGGGATTGATTCAGTGAGGAGAAGGCCACTGAGGAGCAGATAGGCTTTTTAGGAAGCTGCTGTAAGCCAAGTGAGAGAAGTGCTTAGAGAAAGGAGAACTTTTGTTGACCATCAAATAGTTTTATAAGACACAGAAGAGGGACTGACAGTGTGGGACAGATGTGAAATGAGCCTAGTAAGAGTTTGGAAGTGGGTTGGGGTGAGGACAAGGGCAGGGAGGGACCAGAGGCAGTGATTTGCTCCAGTGCCATGGTCATGTAGCTCAGCAAGACATTATCTGCCTCCCTTCAACACATTGACCTTCTTACTTAGAGGAACTAAATAGTTTGAGCGTAGGAAGGACTACTTGTGATGGCAACTAATATTCTGGCCATTGCTATCATTTTTAGGTGACCATCTACTGTAAAGAGGTGGCAACTGTCCAGGGGAGGCAGGTTTTAGGTTTTGAGAAATACATTAGGGGAAGGCAAACTGATTTTTTATAAAAATGTGAGAATTGTCTAAATGTTTTAGTGTAATTACAAGGCTATGTAAAAAAATACTAAAAGAAGGAACAGTGATATCTAATGAGAAAGCTTCATTTGTATTTACTGTTTTAACATAAAAATCCAACATATATTGTTTGCAGGTGCTTTTCAGTGGGAAGAATTGGAAGACGATATCAGGAAGAAAGTGAAAGATTCTGGGGATGTTTCAAGTGTAATTGAGAAAGTTAAATGCATTTTAAAAACACCAGGAAAGGTAAATTACTTTATTGAAAATCAATTTACCTGGATGTTCTCTGAATTTTAACAAATATACTATGATAAATTAATAATACTGAGTCATGAGAAGAGTCAACAGGGTATAAATAGGTTTTTCCTGAGTCTGTTTTTGCCATTTAAATATTTTAAACACAAATATGTTCTCACTACTTCAGATTTTAATTCATCCTAAGAATTAAAATATGTGTGAGTTACTGTCTTTAAAATGTTGATTTGTGAATTCCATCCTCTGAAATATTCCCTTAGAGCTCCAGGAATATGCAATCTATGTCAAGAATGAAGGGCTGTTGAATTTGTCCAGCTCCAGTTAAGCTTTTTCACTTCTCAGAATTCAAGTCCCAGTAGTTTTCAGGAGCAGGGCAATTTCTTTGTGTGCCTTTTTCAGGAATTCTGAGAAATGTTTAATCAGGTAGGCAGTTAAGGATTTGTTTCTCATCTTGTATAGGTTAAAAATTATAAATTAGGTCAAAGGTTATAAAATACAGACTTTGTGTACAGTCCTAAATGTGTACATGTTTAAACTGCAGTCACTTAGGCTGTACAATCTGTAAGGGCTTTAAAAATAAATTTGTTAATTTTAGAGACAACTACATTATACAATTTAGCCAGTGTATTCTTATTTCAGATTCTGTGATAAACAAATTGGCTACAATAGATTAAAAGGTAAGTTATGTGCAGTGCCTACCAGAATATAGGCTTCTATTAAATGTAAGAAAAATTATTATTTCTTCAGTTTTTTATATAGATGGCTTTGTCGATTCTACAACCTAAGTTAATGACATTTTAAATTAATATTTTTAAGTTAAAGCTTTGAAATTGTACTATTTTTTTGTTTTTTTGTTTTTTTGTTTTTTTTTTTATGATAGTCACAGAGAGAGAGAGAGAGAGGCAGAGACATAGGCAGAGGGAGAAGCAGGCTCCATGCACCAGGAGCCCGATGTGGGATTCGATCCCGGGTCTCCAGGATCACACCCTGGGCCAAAGGCAGGTGCCAAACCGCTGCACCACCCAGGGATCCCGAAATTGTACTAGCTTTTAATGAAGATTCCTGACTTATTTGTTAAAAAAAAATTAAAGTGATGTGGAATTAAAGGGAAAGGCTTTTCTTATAAGCAGGTATACAGAAACTTCCAGTTTTACAGGGGTATGGCAGGGTGGTAGCCCTCTTGCAATGTAATTCAACTAAGTAATGCATTTGTAGAAACGTGCACATAAACCTCCATTCTGTTTTTCAGAAGTTCTCTAGATTACTTGTTTATTGACTAGTGAAAAGGTATATACCATATATATCAGTGTTCTGTCCAAACTACTATCTTCCTTTTTTTCCTTCAAATTCAAGGCCTAGATGACAAAGGAATCTGTTTACACAGATTCATGATTGATCTATCAATCAATCAATCCATCCATACATAATATATGTCTACATAGTATTCATGATACACAGATTGATAAACTTTATATGAATTATGAGGACAAAAGTGTTCTAAACCTGAGCCTTTCCTTGAGTATGATTTTAAACGGTCATTCCTTTGTGTACTGAGAAAAATAATGAATTCCTGTTGAGGAAGAGGAGGCTGGGGGCTATATGATTCTGTGATATTGAACTAAATTCCCTCTTTTATACAGAAGGAGAGATGAGTTCCGTGCTTTCTTCTTATGCTTCCCTAGGGTAAAGATCTCTCTCATTTACGGAGTATAACACAGAGACATAACCTTGAGTTAGGAATCAGGAAATATACATTTAAATTGTGAATTGGCGGGCAGCCCCGGTGGCACAGCGGTTTAGTGCCGCCTGCAGCCTGGGGTGTGATCCTGGAGACCCAGGATGGAGTCTCACACTGGGGTCCTGCATGGAGCCTGCTTCTCCCTCCTCCTATGTCTCTGCCTCTCTCTCGCTCTCTCTGAATGGATGAATAGATAAATCTTAAAATAAAATAAATTGTGAATTGGCCATGAATTAATTCCTGGCTTTGAGCAAGTCTCCTCAGGACTTCCTGTAAAATGAGGAATAAATGATGATTTCTAAAGCCCTTGCTGGTTCTCAAGTCCTGTGATGCTTTTTGATTTGCTCTGCTTTGTGTATGGCATTCACCTGAATCCTCTCTACCAATTCCTTTGATATGTAGGTTATGTACAGAATCTGAGAATGTGTTTTATAGGACCAGGATTTGTATGATCCTTTTTTGCTTCTTTGCCTTGCTCATAGAAATCATTCTGGAGTGTGTTTCTTTCCTCCTTGTGAGGAAGGAAAATAATTCTGTTTTCCTTTTACCAAATATTCTAACTTTCCACCATAGTGGATTAATCCAGAGTGGAGAGTAGGTGCCATTTTCTTATTGCTACAGTTGTATGCTGGATTATTTCTTAGGAATGAAGCTTTTCATATTCCCTGGATGGCCAAGCAGAGGTCAGAGTTCTGACCCCGGCAGAGGTCCTAATATTCAGCTTGGGAAGTGGGTGGAGGGTGAGGGAAGAGGGGTTGGCCCTTGAATTCTGGGGCTAGAACAAAGGAACGTCTGAAAGATTACTGGGAGGATAAATGAAGCACCAAATCCTGAGTGGGGTGGAGTGGGGGGCTGGAAACCACTTAGACAGAGGCACTATTACTGGAAGCCACCACCTAGAGCGAGCAGGTATGGGAGCGCAGGAAGGTGTAGTCATGGAAGAAGATCTCCAGAACTCCAGATCGGAGGTCCAGGCAACCTTTTAGAGATGCAGTAATCCCAGCTGTGGGTAGAAAGACATTTAGGATTATAAGATTGTACATTGAGATGGAGATGAATCCATTCATCACTCTCAGATATTTTAATGTTGATCTAGTACATAGTAAGACATGATGTGATGGAGGAAATACATATTTCTAAAAATTACAAAATAAATTTTTTTGTGTGTCCTTTTTTAGTTAGTGAACATATGAACAGGTTGTATATGTAAACCTATTTTGCTAGGCATTCTATGAGGTTGACTGTTGTCTGTTTCCCAGCTAACAGGGACGTGCGTGGACTCAGCACTCCCATTTCTCTGAGTTTTCCCTTAGCCAGTTCACTCTGTGCTGAGAATGTTAAACAGTGCAGTGTTGCTCGTTCTCAGGTAGCACATGTAATTCTTGACAGCTATGATCAAAGGTGCCAAGGAGGAGGTAATCAGTATTTCTTTAGACATTTAGTACAGTTTTCTAAATTCTCTAACCAACCTATGTATTTATTACTAGAGTGTATTTTACAACATTTCCTTTTGTATTTTTGTTTTCCCTTATAGATTAATTGTCTAAGGAATTGTAAAACTTACCAAGCCAGAAAACCCTTGTGGTTTTATAACACTTCCCTCAAGTTCTTCCTTAATAAACCAATGCTTGCTGATGTTGTCTTCGAAATACAAGGTACGGTTCAATTTTTACGAAGTTCAGTACTCATTTTTTATTTCTTATTTTCTTACCTAACTTTCTATTTTAGCTTTGAATATTTTGGGTGGAGAAATGGCTATTCTCTAATGCAGGCTATAGATTAATACTGGCTGAATTTCAGCAAAATCTGGGGAAATGAAGTATTTTGTTAAAACAAGGAAAGAAATTTATATTTTCCTAGGTCTGTGGGTTTTTTTGTTTTGTTTTGTTTTGTTTTGTTTGCCCTTACCATATGCTTCATTAACTTTTAGAGACCAGTGTGGAATGGAGATCTGTAATTCCCTCATTGTATATTTTTGTCCCATGTATTTCTTTAAGATACTAGTTATTGAATCATCTGAAACAGCTCCCTTAACCTTATATTACCTGTAACTTATTTACTTCTCTTCCTTTTTATTTGAGCAAAAGGAACTAACCATGCGGTGAGGGTCATGCCTGGCTTACATTAGGCATGGGTAGATATTGCTACATTTATTCCTCACAGCACTCTGAGAATTATCACCAAAGCAACTGAGAGCTGCTTTTTATCTCTGTAGGAAAGTAATGCTCCCTAATTTTAATAATGACAAGCTGTTGTAATGCCCATTATTGATTATTCACTTGGATAATTTTGCCACTTCAGTAGATTAAAAGCATAATCTTAAAAATGAATTGTTAGGTACTTTCCCCTATGCAAGAAGTTAGGAGTCGTTTCCAAATGTAATAAGTATTATCAAGAAATAAGATATAATTCTAATTTTATGAGAGAAATGTATGGCAATTAACAGCCATTTGCTTTTTAAATTTTTCCTCGGAAAGATTCATTTTAACATCTGGCCACTTGCCAAGACAAACAGTGAATTGGAAACTTTCCCAGGTGCCTTCTGATAAGCTACAGTCAGCTCTGTTTGAAATGTGAGCAGGAGACACTGAGAATGGGACAATAAGAGTGACCTTGAAATAAATAAAACATTTTATGGGGGGAAAAAAGCTAGTAAGAGACTGTATTTGCTTATAAATTGCATAGGAGGCCTTCACACCAAACATCATATTAATGTAACCTACTGAAAAGCTTTTCAAAAGGAATATGCAACATAGGAAAATATATGTTAAGAGAAAAATAATGATGTGGAGAATTCTTTCTCCTCATAATCTCTTGCTTTCTTTCACAATTCCACCTCCCAACACTGTTGCAGGTACCTCCCCACACCCCATAGCCATGCAGAGGCTGGCTGTGGGAGGGCTAGTTGTGGGCCTTTGCTGATGTTCTTTGAAGCCTCACAGCTCAGAAACCAAGGCCTCCCGAGGTCGGGAGGTGGGACAAGCAGGCATGGGTGGAAGCAGGGTCTAGCACCAGCTTCTCCGCCATCTGTGGGAGGAGAAGGAAGCCTAGCTTTTGAAGAGTTTGAGGAGAGAGCTCTAGTGTGCAGAAAGGAGCACTATTTCTCCTCTAGAGGCAGGTTGTGCCTACCGTTTGCAACCCTAGCTTCAGCCTTGGCTTTGCATTCCAACCGGCATGTGTCCTTAGGCTGGTCACTTAATGTATTTTGCTTTATTAAATCTCATTTCCAGAGTGAAGAGGGTGAACCAGATAGCTTCTAAAAGGTCATTTTTAGTGTTAAGTTTGTTGAGGTGGTAGTGACCGGGACTAGAAAGTCCTGGTTGGGATCTTGTGTGGGTGCATAATTTCGTATTGCTGTGCCTGTGCTACTTTATTACATTTCTGATCCTGTTTTGTTTCCTTGCCTATAAAATGGGGATACTAATTTCTACCTGGAAGAGTGCTCATGAAAATTGAGATATGGTGCATATTAAGGTATATATAAAGGCCTAATAGTACATATTTTGAATCTCTCTCGAACTAGGCAAGTTTCCTGTTTTCAGAGTAAAAATTCTAAAAATTTCATTTTTCGAACTTGGGAAGTAATACAAAGAAGGTATGACAAATGTAGGATTTTATTTTCATGTATAATAAAAACAAAGGACTTTGATAATTTATGTTAAGTTTATTAGAAAACTTGGGCTTTGGAATTTCATTTTACTCTTAAGCACTTTTCCTTAAAAACAAAAGCTTCTAAAACTGTAACAGTAATTTGAATACTACAAAGGAAAGATACTTTAGGCCTTGACATTTTCAAAGAATATATTTATCTTTTAACTAGAAAATTGATGCTCCCCCCTTTAATGCTTCAGCCTTATTGTATTGCTGGTTCGTGTAAGAACCCTGGATTGTGTTCATTGGGCATTTGATACAGTGTTTATGTATTTTTTTTTTTAAATTTTTATTTATTTATGATAGTCACACACAGAGAGAGAGAGGCAGAGACATAGGCAGAGGGAGAAGCAGGCTCCATGCACCGGGAGCCCAACGTGGGATTCGATCCCGGGTCTCCAGGATCGCGCCCTGGGCCAAAGGCAGGCGCCAAACCGCTGCGCCACCCAGGGATCCCCAGTGTTTATGTATTTATACAGTTTATATACTATGTTGAAAATGTGACTATACTGAGGTATTGCATTATAGCTTCATAATAGAACAGTTTACAGTATAAAACAGTAGGTGGAAAAGGTGGGAAACAGAAGTGATGATTTTCTGAACTGGAGGTATAATGGTTTTCCAAACCAAATTCAAAGCTTGAAATGGGCTTGACATGCTTTAAGGTACTGGGTATTTTCTTGCTAGTCTTGTAACTCTGTTTTAACTACATTATTAATGGAAAGTTTCTGTTAAAATTCCAAGGTTACTTATCAAATTCCTTCCCCACCTACTCTCCATTTGGTATCTTTGGTCAATCTGAAATCCCTCTGCTTAACCCAAATGAAAGGCTGTCTAGTTTGTTAAGCCATGCTTCTCCTTTTCTTTTTTCCAGTAGAGTCCTGCTTCAGATTTTCAAACCTTAGAATCACAAGCCCAATTTTATTACCTGTTTGGATTCTTTGTGAATTGCTGTGTACAAGGATAACCATTAAATCATGTTTAACCATGGAAACTGATCATCCCCATCAGTGAACACTGTTCCATTGAGAGCAGGTGGCCTCATGGCAAAAGGGGAGGGAGGGGAAAGAGCCGAGAGGGGATGATGCCTGCTAGCAGGTGTGTGATGAGCTGGTAGCGATATTCACTGTATGTAGCCTCTTTCCCTGCTCTTCTGAGAAGGGGAGTTATACCAATGATAGCTCTAAGTATTGAGCTCAGAACTGTCAATGTTGGGCATTGTTTGTGAATCCTAAGGGATTATTGGTTTTGGGGAAAGTCACTGGGCTTAGGTGAATCTATTCTTTTCTGAATCAGGAAATGTTTTGCTTGGATTTAAAGAAGCTGAAGAATCCAATTACTCTAAATTTTAAAAAAAATTTTAAAAAGATGTGTTGATTTATTTGAGAGAGAGAGACACACACACACAGAAAGATTTAAGCAGATCCTTTGCTGAGCACAGCGCCCGATGCAGGGCTCGATCTCCTGCCACTGAGCTCACGACCTGAGCTGAAACCGGGAGTCGGTTAGGGTGCCACTGTGCCACCCAGGTGACCCTAATCGTAAAATATATGAGAATATTTTGCATAGCATGGAACATATGCCCCTGAGAGGTGTGAGATTTTAAGAGTGTGTAGGTGAAGACTTGAGCAGAACAGAGTGGTTTGGCTCCTAGAGTTACTTTTTGGAAGGCTTTGTCATTCCTATTGGCTCTGGCGTCTTCCACCAAACTAAAAGCTTGAGTGCTCCAAAGCAGGGTAGTTTTGTCCTTTTCATCTTTTTAATCTTTAATACTTAACATGGCGATTAGCACATGGTGGGTGCTTAGTAATGATGTGTCAAATTGATCTAGACTGAACTGAAGGTTCTGAAGGCTCGCTGTGGATTCATGGTTTCCTGAGGTGCTGAGAGTGATGAGAACTGCTTTTCCATCGAGTGCCATCTGGTGATGCCTCACTGTGATGGAGTGGACATCACATAGCTGGACAGCTTAGCAGGCTTTAACTAGAAGTCAGTTTAGTTTAATGAGCTTCAGAGAAGGGTATGAGCTGAGGAGCCTTTAAAATGTAAAGTAGGTCTGGCTCTCCCAGAAGCTGCACTGTTCCCTGAGGAGGTAGTACACTAGAGGGACATGTGGGGACCGGGTCGTAGCTTCCAGATTTTCCATAATGTCTGAAATGCTCCCGTCAGCTCCACAAAAGAGCCTCTTGCCGTACTTGCTGTAGCAAATGGACTGCTTAGGCCAAGGGATGGTTCCCTTTCTACAGTTTCCTCTTTCTGATAAGTGTGTCCAAGAAGGATACTATCAGTGTTTTCTTACGAGGCACATGGGTAAGAATGAATGATGATATTTCAAGCCAATTGGAAAAGATACATGTTTCATAATAAAAACAAGAAGCAAGGGGATCCCTGGGTGGCTCAGCGGTTTAGCACCTGCCTTTGACATGATCCTGGGGTCCCGGGCATGATCCTGGGGTCCCGGGATTGAGTCCCACGTTAGGCTCCCTGTGTGGAGCCTGCTTCTCCCTCTGCTTGTGTCTCTGCCTCTCTCTCTCTGTGTGTCTCTCATGAATAAATAAATTTTTAAAATCTAAAAAAAAAAGCAAAATATATCATTTTGTTGTTTCCATCTTCAGAAAATGCAAACTAAGTAACAAATAATTGCCTCTCTTATAAATTGTTAATTTCAAAATCAACTTTTGAACTCTGTTTTTCAACTAAAAACTAAAGAGTTTTGGGTATCTCCCCAAACTTTGCTTTCTAACATCAGCTTAGCTGCCCCTAATGTGATACCACTCTAATTAAAAGGGAAATTGCTAGAATAACAACTCTGCAAGGTTATGTAACTTAGCTTTATTTCCTTTTGAACCTTGCAGGTACAACAGTGCCAGCCCACAGGGCCATCCTGGTGGCCCGTTGTGAAGTGATGGCAGCCATGTTTAATGGGAATTACATGGAAGCAAAGAGTGTTCTGATTCCAGTTTATGGTGTTTCCAAAGAGACTTTCTTGTCATTCTTAGAATACTTATACACAGACTCCTGTTGCCCAGGTGAGCAGTATAAATATTAAATAATATTTCACAATTTTTTGTTTCTTTGTAACTCATTTTGATAAATTGCTCTCTGTGAATTTTGTTTTGCTTAAGATTTATCAGAGCTGACATCATGGAATGTGCTAGTCAGGTAGAGGTGATTGGGTCAACAATGGACCAACAATGGACTTTCAATCACTTCTACATCCCAGTCAGCCCCAACAGTTTGATGATAATGTGGACAGCCTAGAAATAGAGGTGCTTTGGGATACCCAGGGACTAATCCTACAGATTGGGAGAGAGCTTCTTGGAGCACCATCCCTTCCATAAAGAGAAGAGGTTTGGGCAGCTGTTTTTATGGTTCTCGCTTGTGATTGAGGTACTTTTAAGGACTTTGAAAATTCTGAGACTCCTTGGTCATCTCTGTGGCTCAGAGAATGTGGAGTTTTTAAAAGACTTCTGACTTGTCCTAAAGTCATACTTTCCTTAAGGTAACTTCTCGAAAGACTTTTCCTAAGATGTTTAGGATGCCCAGTGGACTGCAGGATTTATTTCCCTATTTACTGACTTAGGACTATCTTTGACTAAAAACTAGTCCTCTTTGGCAGCTATCGGTTGGAACAAATCTTGCAGGTTTTTTCTAGCTGGAGTCTCCTTGGAGAAATTGCAAAATCCTTTCAACAGCCCCAGAGCCTTGGGATGCCAGCATGGAAGCACCATTAATTCATCCTCAGCCACTAGATGGCTCCCGCCACAAGCACAACTTATTCTAGCCTTGGTGGTTTTCCTTACTCAAGTAACCCAAGAGCTGAATTACGGAACCTGGTCAGCTACTACAGCAAATATAAAAAGAAAACACATTTCAGACCATTTCTCTCTTCAGAGTTATTGCTTTCACTTTTAGATTAGGAAGATTTCCAACATTTGTTGTTAAAATCTCTTAAATTTTAAACAAGTCATGAGGACTCTAGTGAAAGGTTTTAGAAGTTAAAAAAAAAATTCTTTTTTTACTAAATTCTGCCTGGCAGGCAGCTGTAGAGTACTTGGAACCAGTTATAGCTGATACTGTCAGTATTATTATTTTTGCTTAATAAAACTGAAAGTATCGATTCTCATCAGAATGCATGTTCTTGTTTATTTTATCATAATACTGGCAAATTTGTATATTAAATGAAAATTTTGACCCAGATTTATTTTTTTAATTTTTAATTTTTTTTTATTTTTTTGACCCAGATTTAAAATGATAAAATTTAGCTTCTCAGTCTTCTTCCCACTAGAGTAATTGAAGCTCCAAATTTTGAGTCTTCTCTTGCTAGTTAGAAAAATTACTCAGAGAAGCACTAATAACTATAGGACAAAACACTTTAAAACTTGGTAAAAGGTGTGAGGAGAAAATGAATCAAAATGAATAATCAGAAAGTAGATCAGTACTACAATGTTTGCATTGGGAAATGGCAGAAAGAAAGGTAATCTTTTCATTGTGTTAAGTATTGATCATACAGTGTTCTTGGTTCCTAGCTACAAAACACTACAAATAATTTAGGAGAGATTAGAAAGAGAATTGCCTGAAAAATCATTTATAGGAAAGTTAAAAAAAAACAAAAACATAAACATAAACAACCTGAGCGATTCCAGGGGTTAAGGGAAGGGGGAAATGAAATGGGGAGTTATTGCTTAATGGGTACAGTTTCAGTTTGGGAAGAAGAAAAAAATTCTGGAGATGGATGATGGTGATGGTTGCACAACAATGTGAATGTACTTTAATGCCATTCAGCCGTACACTTTAAAATGGTTAATGATAAATTTTATGTTATGTTTATTTTACCACAATAAAAACAACAAACAGGGACTAAAGCCAGGAGAAGAAAAATTGCAAGGATTTCGTTGAGCTAGCCAAAAGAATTACATAATAGGCTCGGAATTGATTATTAAGGGCAATTGTAGAATCACCTCTGAAGAACTAAGAAAACAACAAAAAGATTCTCTTTGGAATATGAAGACTTAAATAATTCTTTTTAAAATAGCATAATAGGAAGTACCTATTGTAGAGGCTCAGTTAATGGAGTGTGTGACTCGATCTCAGAGTTATGAGTTCGTACCACACATTGGGTGTAGAGATCAGTTAAAAACCAAAACTTTAAAAATAAATAAGTAAATAAGATGACATAATAGTGTAGAATGCAGACTCACTCCTTCAAGGCTTTTTCTGTGCATTCTGTTGCACGTTGGATGTACATTGTTGTGTAGCATGTTGTAGCATTGTTGTGTTGTTGTTGGTTTGCTTTTTGTTGTTTTGTTTTAGGTCATAAAAGAAATGGCTCTATTGACCATTTTCTCTTATTTCCCTTCCTGCATCAGCTGGCATTTTCCAGGCTATGTGTCTTCTGATCTGTGCTGAGATGTATCAGGTGTCCCGACTGCAGCACATCTGTGAGCTCTTCATCATCACACAGCTGCAGAGCATGCCGAGCAGGGAGCTGGCATCCATGAACCTGGATATAGTTGACCTGCTCAAAAAAGCCAAGGTAATTGCCCCCATGTATCTGGTTGTTCGACTTTTTTTTTTTTAGTCTTCTAAAAATTAAACTACTTTTTTAAAATTTCTGCTCGTTGAGAGATACATTAGTGTTTGTCTCAGTTTGGAAGTTTGGCCAAATGAGGTTAAATTTCCCTCACAACAATTTCTATGACTAGATAATTTCAAAGCATTGGGTTTTTGAGTAGTTTTTTTCTAAGAAGGAAGGGTTTGCTGATAGGAAATTTTTTGACTGAATAGTGGCCTGTGTAAGAGTCATTTGAGTATGGTGCTTTATTGTGCCATATGGGCATTATAGGACATAGAACTTAGTTTGAATTTCCCCCAAAGCAGTCACATCTTAGGGTTCATGAAAGAAAATGACAGAATTGGTCATTCATACTGATAACTAAACTCATTTATTTGTTCATTTGTTCATTCTTTCACTTCATGGACTTGTTTTGAAGTTCTCAGTTGTTTGTAGGAGGTATTGGTGGACTTCATAAATCCTTTCAAAATGCCTTTTGTTCATATCTCTCATGGTATCATGAATACATTCAGTAAAAATGTTTGTGTTGAGAATCACTTTAGTGCACCATACTTTCTGGCTTCTTCTACGCTTAGGACATTTTTAAGAATTATATTGCTATACATTCTAGGAAACAGAGTTTACACAGTTAAGCTAATTGTGAGTAACTGCGGTTACAAAGACCCTGGAATATGAATCTGACAAAGGACTGGGCCCATCTATAGGTAAACTAGGTTTGTGATTTTGAAATCTGGAACCTGCTGCAGATGTTGTGCCACATAGAGATCTATTATCTCCTCATTCTCACTAAAGGTGAAGCAGGAAGTTTATCCACATGCATCGTCCTACCCTTGGGTATTCTACTATTCCATCCCCTGCCCTATGACAGTTTTAGGGCTTGCAGCAGTCATGGAATATAAAGTTGTATATTGAACTTGCAGTAGGCTGAATCTTCTAGGTCTTTTTTATAGGAATATATTTGATCCATCATTGGTGACAGGACTTTGTAAAATATTATTGGCTATCCCTATCAATTTTGACATCCAGTATTAGAAAAATATGACAACTTTGTCTTCAAGTTATGGAGCCATATAATGGAGCAAAGGACAGACTGACCACCAAAAGCTTGCCTCCAGATTGAGATGAATACATTAAGCAACGTGTATTTCTGGGCATAGAAGGGAATTCATTTAAAGCATCTAGGTCTTCTCCTACTGTCTCCTTAACTGTTTTGGAGTTCATTTCTTTCATAATCAAGTCTTAAGACCTTGTATATTTAATTTTAAGGATTAAAAACAAATTTAAAAACCGAGTAACCTTCTGCACAGTGTTGGATCTTGGAGCTGAGGCCGCTGGCTGGCCGTTGAGCTCACAAGTGTAGGTAGTGTGCACATGAGGGCCACGTTTTCTGCTAACACCACAAGTGTCTCTGGGCCAATGAGTGGAGTGTAATAGTAATTTTTTTTTTTTTTTAGATTTTATTTATTTATTCTTGAGAGAGAGAGAGGCAGAGACACAGGCAGAGGGAGAAGCAGGCCCCATGCATGGAGCCCAACATGGGACTCCATCCCGGGTCTCGGGGATTACGCCCTGGGCTGAAGGCAGCGCCAAACCGCTGAGCCACCCAGACTGCCCTGTGATAGTAATTCTTGCTACAAGTAAAACAACTCCCCTCCCCAAACTGAGTAAGCTTGATCTCTCTTTGTAATGTATTCACATTGAGCTTGGGATAAATAGCTAACCTCTAGAGTTTAGAGTTTCTTTTTCATTCTTCATGGTAGTCTTTACAACCTCAGTTCATTTTTGACATATCATTTTCCTATCGTTCTACCAAGTCTGGCTTACTTAAAAAAAATGATCACAAGTTTCTCTTGCCTTGTCGTATCCTTCTGGTTCACTCATAAGAGAGCTTCTTGGGTGGTTGCATTGACGCTTCAGCTTGCATGCTTGCACGTATGCACACGTTTCCTCACCAATGTCATTTATGATTGCGTTGTCAGCGGTTCTTCCTGACGCGTTTTCCCTGACTCGGTGGTTTCTGATTATGTAATTATCCTTATTTGTTTCTCTTGGTTTGTAAAGTTTAAGATACCAGCCCTTTTTGAATTTTATTTTTGTTTCTGAAGACTTGTCTGTTTTCTAGGAATAAATCTCCATTTGCCAGTTTTCCTTTATTCTGTTCCTGGCAGTCCCTCATTTAACAGTTACACATCCAAGATAACAGGATCATTTTCTTCCCCTGTTCTCTTTGAAGGTCCCAGTTTGAGGCTTTAGTTCACCAGTCACTTCATATTGTTGGTCAGAGTTTAGTTAACTTTTCTTGCACTGTTTCTCTGACTTCTGGGAGGTGAAAGCATCTTTCAGCAGAATTAGACTTTGCATAGCTTTCTGAATAATCAAAATTCCCAAACACTCCATTGTCATCTCTGCTAGTTCTGCACAGTTTATCGGGAAAGCATCCTTCATACCTTTGATATAGTTGAGCAGTCTTACTTCTGCTTCCCTTCCCCCTAACATCTCCCAATTCTTTACCATGACTCTACCTTCAAGTTCATCTGTTTCCATGAAGTTGAACTCTTAACGTGTAAGACAAGCTTCTTTCCCTTAATCAGATTGATTCCTTGGAAATCAGGTAGACATCTCCTTATCTCTGCTCCCTTTTAAGCGTGGACTAGCTGAACTTCAGTGATTCTTGTGAAGTCCTGTTAACCAGATTAAAGCTTTAATCTCAGTATTTTACTTCTAATCTGCATGTTAATGCTTGGTGCCTCAGGCCCCCACTTTTGTTTCTGATCTTTTCCTTGTGAGTTTCTGGGTATTTTCTCCACCATTATTCTTCTTCACAAAGCTATTAAATGTTATAGCATTTGGTATATAGTATTTTTGAAGCTTTTCTTTTTTATTCTGTTGTTTATTTCAGTTTAAACCTGGTTTGTCAGGGGCGCCTGGGTGGCAAGGTCAAACATCAAGCTCTTGGATTCCGCTCAGGTTGTGAGATCCCTGAGTCAGGCTCTGTACTCAGTGGAGAGTCTGCTGGAGGTTCTCTCCCTCAGCCCCTCACACTCATGTGTGTGCACTTTCTCTCTCAAATAATTAAATTGTAAAAGAAAAGGAAAAAAAGAAAAAAAGAAACCTGCTTTCTCAGGTTTGGACATTTTCTTCCAAAAAAGTAGTTATTACAGTGAACTGTTTTCTGTCTCTTGCTAAGAGCCTACAATTATATCTTAAGTCTTGATCAAAAATAAAACTCTGCATTTTAACCATGTTTTTGTAGCCAGCTATTCATTTCTGTGAACTTCCTTCTCTTTCAAGTCACAGCCTTTAAGCAGTGTTCTGAACTTTTGTTTGTAGGTTATCTGCTTTGGGTTAATCATCTGATAGTGCTGGTGGCCTCTGTTAAAATAGGTATACATTTTGGTTCTATCTCTATGAGATCACTCACATTTATCTGCTAAAAGTTAAGGTGAATAAAAATTGTTAAAGATGCGATGTGGAATTTGGTCAACCATTAAATGTCTTGCAATTCAAAAATTCTGTTATTGTATAATGAAAATTAGGGGAACCTATTTATTCACATGTGAAAATATTCCCACATTATAACTTTTTAAAAGAGCTTCTTTTTTGAGTTTCTTCCTTAAGATTTGAGATTATAAATCTTTCTTCGGTTAGCATTCCTTATTGCTTATAAAATATTTTTGAGTTTCCCTAAAAGAGCAATATTTAGCTTAAAGGTAGAAATAACCTAAATGTCCATCAACAGATGAATTAATAAATGAAATGTGGTATATACTCATTGGAGTATATAATATTCCATTGGTGGAATATTACTCAGTCCTAAAAAGGAATGACATTTTAATGCATGCTGCAGCATGGATGAAACTTGAGGACATTATACTAAACAATAAACCAGACAAAGAAAGCATAACTATTGTATAATTCAGTGTTTATGAGATACTCAGAATAGTCAAATTCTTTTTTTTTAAATTTTTTTTATTTATTTATGATAGAGAGAGAGAGAGAGAGAGAGAGGCAGAGACACAGGCAGAGGGAGAAGCGGGCTCCATGCACCGGGAGCCCGACGTGGGATTTGATCTCGGGTCTCCAGGATCGTGCCCTGGGCCAAAGGCAGGCGCTAAACCGCTGCGCCACCCAGGGATCCCAGAATAGTCAAATTCTTAGAGAAAAACAGAATAGTGGTTACCAGGGACTAGAGGCAACTAGGGTAAAAGGGTAATTATTATTTGATGAGTATAGAGTTTCAGTTTGGGATGATAAAAACATTCTGGAAATAGTGATGATGGATGTATAATAATGTGAATGTACTTAATGCCACTGGTACCCTTAGAGAAGTTTAAAATGGCAAATTTTATGTTATGTATATTTTGCCACAATAATAATAAAAAGAACTATACTCTTGTATCAAAGTGGCCTGCCAGCAAGTTACTGTAATCTGAATTGAGTGGTTAAATGGATCAGTGAGTATCACTGGACTGGCACCAAGGTGATGATGTCATGGCCGTGTTGCCCTGAGTTTCCCTTCCATTAGGTGTTGAAATCCAGAATGAGAAATGTGCTGGAAATCCAGCTCACTGTTACAGGACATCCTAGTTAAAAGCAACTCTTCAAACATAACCTTCTCATAAAGCTGTGTCCACACTGAAATCCATACCCTTAGGTTGATGACATTTCCTCCACAAAATATTTTTTGGTTTGCTCCTCAGGTAAACTTGTTTAGATAACAGCCAACCGTGTACCTTTGCTAACCATAATCTTATTTCTGCTGCACAGATATAAGTGCAATTAGTGAAGGCCATGACCTTAGATTAAAAGCTTAAATGAGGGATCCCTGGGTGGCGCAGCGGTTTGGCGCCTGCCTTTGGCCCAGGGCGCGATCCTGGAGACCCGGGATCGAATCCCACGTCGGGCTCCCGGTGCATGGAGCTTGCTTCTCCCTCTGCCTGTGTCTCTGCCTCTCTCTCTCTCTCTCTGTGACTATCATAAATAAATAAAAAATTAAAAAAAAAAAAAAAAGCTTAAATGAAATGCTTAAGAACCTCAAATAATTTGTCTCTGTTAACCACTGATCCAGTGTGCCTCTGCTTCCAGACATTTAGCTGCTCTAGCACCAGTGGCTTGATATTCATTTGATTTGGTTTCTTCACTGATGTAATTTGATTATTACATGTAAATAATTTTCCCTCTTACTTTCTGCTCTCAGAGTAGGCAGGAGGCTGCATCGTGTATGGACACAGGCAGCATGGAGGCGGGCTCTCCACTACTTGTCACAGACCATTCTCTCCACCTGTTCATCACCTCAGTGGTTATTATGTCCAACATTGTTTCCATTTTTCTTGCAGTTTCACCACTCTGATTGCCTTTCAACCTGGCTACTTCATTTCATTGCCACTAACTACCTCATCTTCAGCCAAAAGCCTGAATTTCAGGATCTTTCAGGTAGATTGCCAATTTACTATTTTGAAAAAAAAAACAAAAAACAAAAAAAAAACTTTGTCCTTTGTACTTAGGTTTGAGACATAGCTTGTAGGAATAGTAATTGTTAAAAAAAAAAAAAGGTCAAAGAAAAAAGTCAGTGTAATACATTCCTCTTAAGTACACAGTGTGGTAATTGAGGATATGTTAACTTACAGTCATCTGGTTATAAAAATAGTTTGACTTGTGTTACACAAGAAGCTTCCTAATTATTGTTTTATAGCTCACATCCATTTTTAAGTGTACCTTTTTCCTGAAGTAGACAGATAAGGTGGCCTCAGGTGGCATTTCATTGTGATAAGTGATATCTTGGCTTTAACCACAAGAGTCAGAAGCAAAATTTAAACAGTACAGATTTAAAACTTTTTTCTTATGAAGGAGTTGTAACTATCATTTATTATTTATAATATGTAGTTCTATTGTTCTGCTATCTATGTTTATTTAAGTATATCTGTATAGGGATCCATCATATTATTTGAAAACAACAGTTTTTATATTGATCAAAGAATGTTGCAAAACTTACTGACCAGAGAGTATACATCATGTGATCTTTTAGGTAAATTATAAAGATTAAAACCAATCAAGCTTCATCTTACTGTGCTACATGAGACAAAAGAAAATGAGAACAGAATAGTCATCAGAGGAGACAGTTTTTGGACACGATGATTTGCTCATGTTACTTAGAATAGGCTCAAGAAATAATCAAGTTAAAAGGCAAAAAAGATAGCCTAGTTAAATAGTTTTTTTTTTTTTTAAGATTTTATTCATTTATTCATGAGAGACACAAGGAGAGAGAGAGGCAGAGACACAGGCAGAGGGAGAAGCAGGCTCCATGCAGGAAGCCTGATGTGGGACTCAGTCACTGGTCTCCAGGATCAGGCCCTGGGCTGAAGGCAGGCGCCAAACTGCTGAGCTACCCAGGGATCCCCAGTTAAGTAGTTTCAAACTGTATAAACAGGGAAGTATCCTCAGAGATACCTGCAGGTTCTTTGAGGTCGGGGCAGCAAGTGGAGAGTGACTGAGGGAAGAGGGGAGAAGGAAACAGAGAACTTGAAATTTGTAATTCTTGGACTCCCTGTCCCTTCAACTAAGGTAGTTCCACTTTTAACTTTTATATCTTAGAGTTCTGCATAAAATTTTATTTATAAAAGATAACCTGCTGCTAAAATGTTTGAAAATCTCTGGCTTTTTTCAACTTCTTGCACAGTTAAGGAAACCAGGAAACAGTCTATTTTTGGCAGATATATTCAGTTAGTTGACAAACATCATATGCCTATTGGGAGGCTTCTTATATAAAATGTAACTATTAGTGCAATAGAGCAGCATAGTAAAGCAGAATATAGATATTTACTAACCATCTACTTTATGTAAGAAAGAAACAAGTTCTATTCCTAGAGAGAAAACATTGCTGCTAGTAGGGGCATTCTTATTAAGTCATTCTTTAAGAAATCAATTCACAATGAAACGAGTGAACATTGTGATTTTTAGAACCACCTTTGTTTTGCTGCCTTAGGTCCCCTTCATTCATAAGAGTAAGATTATTTTCCATTTACTGTCTTGTGTAGGTGAATGCCACACTCTTACAGCCTATAAATCCTTTGAGTTATAAATTTTTGTTTTATTTTATTATTTATACAATTGACTATAAAGGGTAGTATGACCACCTGGCATAGTGTGGACCACACACTCCAGGGTGTGATCCGGGAAGGTAGGGTAAGAAAAAGAGGCTGTGTCCTTGATTGTCTTATGTTCCTTTGATGGGAATTAAAAAAGGCATCATGAATGCTCTGATTCAGTGGTACCTGTTTATATTCAGGACCTGCTGTGATGTGTCCTTGTGGGGCAGAGAAAAAAGCCCCTGGTGGTTAAGGGAGAATTAGTCTAATTTAGAGGTGGCACACTGGGAATCTGTGGATCAAAAGTAGCTGATTATAGTCTGCCAACGGGTTTTATTTGGACCACATGATATTACTTTTCTTTTTTTAGTGTCACCATTTAAAGAGAATAACATGTCACATCTTAAAAATCCAAATTTCTGGCTTCTTTTGAAAAGTTGGAAGATCTGATTACCTTGGACCCATCTTCCCACATGGCAGCAAATTGGAACTTAGCTATGCATTTAAAGGAGCATGTCTCCTCCAGAATGTTCTAGTTGCCCTTCCTCTGTGTTGTCTTACATTTGAACTGCTTCACATGGTCACTTGAAGTTAGAAGGGTTCTTGGTACAATTTATAGCTCCCTTAAATACTATCCCATTTCCAATTTCAAAAATTATCACTTTTTTATTGGAATTCTGTGAACTGTTTTCTCCTGCTTGAGAATTCTTCTTTAGAGGTGGTTAGCAATTGAAAAGTGAGACTAGACAAGATGTCATGTTAATGCTGGTATTGATACATCAGAACTCAGTTAAATAGTTCATTAAATATTGGATGTATTTTATGTGTTGGACTCTTAAAAGCAAAGAGCAATGCATAGGAATATAAGTTACCCTTAGCATTTACGGATTCATTATTCTCGCAGTTTAATTTAGCTCAAAATTATGTAACATATTATATAATATGGAATTTTTTTTTGTTGTTCTGGTTTGGTTTTTGCTGGCTGCCAGAGCTTATCTGTGGTCATTTTTCTCTCTCTCTTTCTAAATCTCAACCAAGGGAGTAGTCTTATGTCACCTTTGCTTACTAGTGAAACCTACATCTAACTTCCCTGAACTGCTAGGAATTTTCTTTTTGTCCAGGTTTCTTTTTGTAGCCTGGATCATGACCTCATTAATCTGAATCATAGTATATGAGGTCACAAAGTAGGTGGAGAAGTGGGAACTGATTCAGTAGAAGGAAACTTAAGTACTCACAGAAGGGAATACTGATGAGAAGCAAGCTGATTCACCCAGCAGAATATCAAAAAGCCTTAGAAATCTGAGAGACCAAGTATTCCAGAAAGCAGAAAGAGGCTTGGGGCCGACAGCTATAGAATTAGTTGAAGGTTATGAAGAAGGGGGCACCTGGGTGGCTCAGTCAGCTGAGTGTCTGACTCTAGGTTTTGGCTTGTGTCATGGTCTTAGGGTTGTGGGGTAAGCCCCATGTCGGGCTCTGCTCAGCATGGGGTCTGCTTGAGATTCTCTCTCTCTTCCTCCCCCCTTCGCCCAGCTCACATGTGTGCTACCTCTTTAAAAGATATAAATAAGTAAAACCTTTTTATTTATTTATTTTTTAAATTTATGAGAGACATGGAAAGAGAGAGAGAGAGAGACATAGGCAGAAGGAGAAGCAGGCTCCGTGAAGGGAACCCGATGTGGGACTCGATCCTGGGATCCAGGATCAGACCCCAAGCTGGAGGCAGACACTAAAACCACTGAGCCACCCAGGCACCCTAAAACCTTTTTTTAAAAAGTTGTGAAAAAGCTTTTACTGCACTCCATCCCACCCAGGCAGGCAACTCCTTCTCTTTCATCTTCCTAAGAGACGGTAGGTTTATTCTCGGAGATATTAAACCAAAAAAGTTTATAGAATCACAAATTCCAGGTATAGCTGAGATTGGGTTAAGGAGCTGAACTGAGAACATAAGGCTCATGTGAAAGTACACATTGTATATCAAGCCACCAGCCTCCTTTCCGTGTCCAGGTTCTAGAATGCTGGCACTGGGTGAAATTGAAGTGTCTTTGTCTGGCCTTGGAGAAAAAATATATAGATGCAATCATTTGTAACTTCCGTCAGTGAACCCAAAAGTATCTACTCTGTTATTCTACCAATGAGTAAGTTTACTCATGACCACAAGATATCCAAACAGGCATCTATCTATCCAATCAGCTCACTCTTAAATGTAAGAATATAACTGAGGATCTTTAGGTATTTTAGGAAATATCTAACATGAAAGATACCAAAACCAAAAGAAAATTAATAAAAACAAAAGAGAAAGAATTTAGAGGAACAAAGAATAGAAAAACAGCCTTTAAAAATCCTAAAATTAATGTCCTCAGAGAATAAGAGATACAAATCTACAAAGCAGGATAGAATGTTATTTTAAAAGAAACAATATTTAGAGAGACAGAAAGTAGAATGGTGGTTGCCAGGCCTGGGGAGAAGGGGAAATGGGATATTGTTTAATGGGTATAGAGTTTTAGTTTTGCCAGATGAAAAGAGCTCTGGAGATAGATTGCATAACAATGTGAATGTACATAACAATACTGCATATATACGTAAAAGTCATTGAAATAGTAAATTTTATGTTATATATGCTTTATCATCGTTTAACAATACAAAAACAAGAAATTGTTCTTGGAAATTACAAACATGATACCTAAAACAAAACTAAACAAAAAAGCATCTAAATAAATAAGAGTTGAAACAACTACATGTGAGTTGAAAGATAAAGATGAGGACATCTCCCAAAAAGTAGGACAAAAAGAGAGGAGAGAAACTTTTTTTAAAACTTTGAGCTCAATCCAAGAGGTGAAGTATCTGATTAAAAGAAGTTAATACAGAATAAAATAGTGGAGAGGAAATTATCAAAGAAATAATACAAGAAATTATCATAGTCCTGAAGGACCCAAGTCTTCAGATTGAAAGGATCTGCTAAAAGCTCAGCTTTATGAGTGAACAAAGTCCATCACCGGAACATGCAAGAACACCAGCTATAAATAGAAAAACATAAAAGTTTTAAAAGAACACAGATGACTTGCCAAGAGCTATAAATCTGAATGGTAGTCGAGTACTTAATGACCTTAGAAACTAGAATGCAGTGGAATTCTGTTGTCAACATTCTGAGGGAAGTTGTCCACCTAGAATTCTGTACCAAACCAAATTACCAATTGTGTGTGAAGAGGATAAAGATGTTTCACCACATGCAAGTTCTCAAAAATATTTCATATGTAACCCCTTTTTCAGGGAGCTAATAAAGGTTATGCTTCACCAAAAATGGAAAATAAACTGAGTCAAAGGCCTGGAGTCCAAGAGCGGAGGGATCCAACCTGGAAGCACGAAGCAGGCCTAGAAAGCAGGGCAGTGCAGGGCTCTGGTGAGGGTGCAGAGCTTGTTTGGTGACTGGCTGGGGAGAGAATAGAATCGAGAGGGCCTCGAAAAGTTTGGAAGGGTGAGGCAGCTACCAAGAAAACAATGAAAAACAAGTCTGTTGCCATCTCCAAGAAAAATACATCTCTCTTGGAAAACAAAAGACTATAAATACTACTTGATGAAGCAGTGGATCAGATGTATATTGTTGCAAATCACATAATAATATAAATCCTGATGACTGATTTCACCAAAGCTGTGTTAAACAATTGTGGAAACCTTGAGTTCGGAAAGGTAGGGGATATGTAGCCAAGCTCGGAGCTTATCCGTTAAATAGGAAATCGATAGTTAATATCTAAACTTGATCCAAAATAAAAATATATGCAATTAACATTCTTTTTCTAAAAATTTTAGTGGAAGAACGCAGCTTTGTTGAAAAGCACAGATGGCCATCGAATATGTACTTGAAGCAGCTTGCGGAATACAGGAAGTATATTCACTCTCGGAAATGTCGTTGCTTAGTAATGTAACCCAGAGCTTTTATATACATTTGCTTATTATTATTATTATTATTATTGTTATTATGAAGAAGAAGAAGAATGGGATACTCTGTGTTCCATCAAGATTATGTGACTGAAGGCAATGTGGGTGTTAAAAGAATTAGCATACAGCTTAATGTGTTTGTTAGTTCTCTGAAAAAAATTACTATTGTGGTCTTAAAAGGGAACAAAATATACCATAGGCTAAAACTATGGCTTCACCATCCTAGTATATAAAGCTGTCCTACAGCTACTATTTCCTTTTAAGATGCCCTGTTGCTTTAGTGATATTGATACCCCTCCCAGTTAAGAAATGTTTAAATTAAAAAAAAAAATCATGTAGGATTAATTTAAATTTTTCATCATGTCTGATTAATTGCTCTATTAAAATAAGGGGCATTTTAAAGACCCAGTATGACTATTTCAATAATGAAGAATCCAGAGTAAAGCTGATCAATCTGAAATTTTAGGAATAGAAATTTGCATGGGATTTTGAAAATGAAATGCCACGTGGTTTCAAATGAGTGACAGTGTTTGAACCATCATGAAAAGAATTTGTTTTTTATGTGGACAACCTAGCTGAGCCACCTGTCTCTTCCATGGGCAGGGAACCTAAACAGGGCTGGCTTTACGGCCATGTAACCTCTAATGACACTGGGGCCCCATGCTTGGTTCGATGCTCTGCTGTTGCCATTTTGAAATTCTTAATAATGTTTAAAGAAAGGCCTTGCATTTTTGCTTTGTACTGGGCCCCCCAAATTATGTGTATCTCCTAGCAGGATATGTACTGTATTTTCTTGCTCAAACATCATTCTCTCTGAAACCAAAAAAAGAGGCACCGACATGGAGGGAAGAGCTCATATAGGGTTTCCCATCCTTGGGGAAGTCTGTACCATCCAGGGCCTCTGCTCCACCTCGGCGGGCTAGAGAGACATGCTTTGTGTTTTCTCAGCTTTCAAACACTCACGGTTCTGGATCTGTCACAGTTGAACAAATGCATTCTTCCTCCTTCTCAGACTGGGATGTTGATAAAAGCAACTGATCAGTGTGAATTTAAAACAGTTATAAAGGTCCTTGTAGGAAGAGATGCTTTCTAGAGAACTTGCAATCAGTGGCTTAAGAGTTTTTGGTTTTGTGTACTTCTAAGCTTAAGGAGGTCAGCAGCTCAAATTGTTTGAATTCTTTCTGAGGACTGCAAGGTTATTTAATGAGGAGCAGCACAAACCATGTCCATCAAGATAAGTCAGTAAGTTAAAAAGTCATAAATCAAAGACTCAGTACATAGAAAATGGTACTAGGATAGAAGTATAGTTTCCCTTGTATTACACAATCAACAGAAATAATTACATTGGAAGCTCACAAGCTGAGAGATGGAAAACCAGATTACTAGTTATTAACATCATTTTCATCCGTAATTCAGTATTGGGATGTATTTTTTTTTACATTTCTAATGACTTTCAAGGACACTGAGTGTTTCCAACTATTCAAACATTTGATGAAACAGTTTTATACCATAGTATTAGATATAATATGATACAGTTAGTCCTTGGATGGCTATCAACACTGTCAGAGTAGAACAGTAAAAATGCCCTATATATATCTTCCAAGAAACCTGATTTTAATTAGATTGTATTGGTGAAGATTACTGGAATGCATTTTATGTTTTTGTATTTTAATCACTTGAGTTAATCAACTCTTGGCAAATCCCATTTGATAAGGATAAGCATTGTAAACAATAAATGCAATAGTAGATTTCTAGAAATTCATCACATTTACAGTCTTTTAAACCACAGTGATAGCCTTATGACCTTATTTCATAAGTGTAGTCTTTGCCCTATGTGAATGGCAGCACTTAAAATTCTAAATCAATAACCTTTGAGGTAGGAAATGGAAAAGAATATTAAGTTTTAAAGCAAAATAAAGTATTTTCTTGGTAATACTATTTAACATTTACATAGACCATAGATACTTTTTAAGTTATTTGACCTGAATGGAAGTTGAGTTTGGAAGCTGGTGCTCTGTAGGTATTGGTTGAGATTGTCGATTTTATTATGAAAGTTCTTTACCACCTGTGTGAGAGACTCAAACACACTGATGTCATGGCTCCTCAGAGCTAGTCAGAACAGTAATCAAATTAGTTTTTAAATCTAGACTCTTCAGTACCTTTGAATTAACTCAATTTAAAATAAGAAATTTAAGAGTACTTATAAACTATCTTGGAGAAATGAGTGCTCCTTTTGAGTTTGTTTTGTTTTAAATTGAAAGAGTATTTCTAGATGAATGTATGCCTTGTGTTCATCTCTGCTTCAATATATTCACCAATTATTTTAATTAGAGAAGATACTGAGTGATAGAACTAAGGCCTCTTCTTTCTGGGCCAGGTTTTCACCTTAAATAACCCTTTGTATACTTCTGACTACTCTCTGTTCCTATTATAAAAGAGTAGGTTTATAAAAAGAAGTTTCAGTAACATAACTGAAATTCACCCGTCCAGGCCACCATGGTGGCCTCCTATTGGACAGTGGCGGAAAACCGAACAATTGGATAAATTTAACTTCCAAGACAGCTAAACTTTTCAATTGTAATTTTAAAAACTACACTACACTGATGTACTTACTTAGGAAAAAAAATTTCCTCAAGAGTACTTTATTTTATTTAATGCTTCTGTTTAATTCAATCTTTAATAATTTTGCTAAGAAGGGTATGTGTGTATTTTAATATAGCCTGACCTGAATTTATATGTTTTTAGTTTTAGTATTTAACATTTTGTAACAAATAAACCTTTTTTTAAAACAAGTTTAACACGGTGTCCTACAGTTCTTTAATCTCAGATATTGAAATGCTGGATGGAATAAATTTGGGAATACTGTCTGTTTCTCAAGCATAATTATGTTTCATGGATAATCTCCATTACGTGTAAGATACATAGAATATTGCTGATGTTGTAGATGCCTGTGATGAGATAAAGAAATTTATATTACCTATAGCAGCGTGTACCAGAATTTCTCTTAACAAAATAATTGCCTTTATGCAGAAAAATGCATTTATAATTATTTAGCATGGAAGTGAGCCCTATGGGCTTGAGTACTGGTTGGGGCCAAGACTTTTGAGAAGTAGAGAAGCCACTCTGCATAATTAAGGGTTAAGAAGTTGGAATTTCCCAACCCAATGAAAAGGCATGCTACTGAAGGGAAGAAAATACTTGCAAACATTTATCTTCTAAAAATTAATATCTAAAAAGTATAAAGAATTCATACATCTCAAAAGTAAAGCAAAATAAAACAATGTGATTGAAACATGGGCAGAGAATCTGAACAGAGATTTTTTTCCTAAAGAAGACATAGAGAAGGGCACCTGGGTGGCTCAGCAGTTGAGCTTGAGCCTCTGCCTTGATCCTGGGTCTTGGGATGAGTCCCACATCAGGGTCCCCTCAGGGAGCCTGTTTCTCTCCCTCTGCCTATGTCCCTGCCTCTCTCTGTATCTCTCATGAATAAAGAAATTTAAAAGAAAAAATTTTTTTAAAAAGAAGACAGAGGTGGTCAACAGGCACCTGAAAAGATGGTTCAGTGGAGAAATGCAAATCAAAACCACAAGGAAGTATCCCCTCACACCTGTTAAAATGGCTATTATCAAAAAAGAGATAACATGTTGGGTAGGATGTGGGGAAAAGGGAACTGTCATACAGTGCTCGTGGATATGTAGATTGGTGCAGCCACTATGGAAAACATTGTAGAGGTTCCTCAAAAAATTAAAAATAGAACTACCATATGATCTAGCAATTCTACATTTGGGTATTTATCTGAAAAAAAATGAAAATACTAACCTGAGGCGATCTCTGCATGTCCATGTTCATTGCGCGTTATTTACAATAGCCAAGACATGGACACAACCTAAGTGTCCATCAGGGATGAAGGGATAAGGAAAGTGTGGTGTATATGTACAATGGAATTTATTCACATATTTAAAAAGTATGAAATCTTTCCATTTGTGACAACGTGGATGAACCTTGAGGGGGGTTACATTAAGTGAAATAAGTCAGACTGAGAACAAATAGTGAGTAGTATGCTCACTCTTGAAGCTTTGTTTGCCCTGCGTCAGGAGTGGCCTGAGTCAGCTGGCACGTGAGACATGGAGTGACCATGGTGGCTGGTTCTCTGGGGACTCAATGAACAGAATGGAAGAGCGGTAAGTTCTGCACCATTGAGGGGGGTGCAGATCGTGTACAAAGTGACCTGCCTGGGAGTCGCCATGGAAGGTCAGCAGAAAGATGAGCTGGGGGGACAGAAGTTTCTGTTGTGACTAAGGAAGGGGAAGCAGCTCCCAGCGTTACACACAGTGTTTGCATGCAAATGAGCCTGTAACTGCCCTGAGTGACTTCCTCGGGCATTCGAAGCTAGTTCTCAAATTCTTAGTTGTCCTGCTGGACTGTCAGAGCTTAATGCTCTTGAAGGCTGAGCTCAGCTGTTCATCTATGACTTAGTGCCTGTCTTGTTTTGTTCACAGGAATGAGTGTCCTTTAATTTATTCCTTCTTCCTCTAGCAGCTACATCATTACTGGAGTGTTTTTCTCTTAATACTTAAACCTTCTCTGACTCCACAAAGTTGCCAGAGGTTTAGTCTCTGCTGTGTTCAAGCAGAGCAATTCGACAGCCAAAAGATATTAAAAAGGTTTCTCATTCTTTTTATTTTGTAGTGTTACCATTTTCTAATAGGTAATATGTTTGTGAGGCTGAAAGCTCAAAACAATAAAAAAAGTATACTTTGGGAAAGGAGTCCTTGCTCCCATGTGTTTCCCTTCACCCCATTTCCCACATTCCCCATAGTAATCACTTGCATCCGTTTCTTAGGCATCATTGCAGTGTTTACTAAAATGAATATGAGCACTGAAAATGCATATTTTCATCTTCCTCCTGTGGTAGACAGAACAATAGCCACCCCCTCCCCCCTTGCAAAATATCCACATTCTAATCCCCAGAACCTGTGAATGTTACTTTTCAGGGCAAAAGGGATTTTTGCAGGTTTGATTAAGTTAAGGATTTTGAGATTGTTCTAAATGGGTCTCTCATAACCCCAAGTGCCCTTAGGAGAGGGAAGAAGTGCAGTAAGAATACAGGAGGCAATGTGGGGAGGAGGGGTTTGAAAATGAGACAGGGGTTCATGAGCCAATGAAGAAAGGGAGTCCCCAGAAGCTGAAAAAGGCAAGGGAACAGATTCTCCCCTGAGCCTTCAGAGGGAACCCTGCTGACAGCATTAGCCCCTGCAGTCCGATTTTGGACTTCTGACTTCCAGATCTATAAGAAAACAGATTTGTGTTGCTCTAGGCCTCTCGGTTGTGATCATTTGTTACAGCAGCAACAGGAAACTAATACACCCTTTTCCTTCACACAGAGGCGACGTGAATGACGTCCTTTGTCCTCAGTACCATTTAAGGGGGGGAAGTGGGGTCTCAGTACCTTTAACTCGGTAATTTATTAAGCCAGCTCTTCTCAAACTGTAGTCGTCATCAGAGTTACCTGAAGGGCTTTTAAAAAAGCAGAATGCTGGGCCCCAGCCCCAAAGTTCTGACTTTGCGGGTCTTGGCTAGTGCCTGGGAATTAGCATCTGAAACAAGTTCCCAGGTGAGGCCCATGCCACTGGTCCACAGAACCCGCATAGACAACACTTCCATGTCTCTTGGGTCTGAAGCATGCACCTGCCCTACTCCAGAGCCTCCTCCCTCCCCGTCCTCTATCAGTTTGAACTTTGACCTCTAGACCCAAGGCCCACCTCTGCGTCCTTGATAGTTTTTCTAGCTCTGTTACGCTGCTCTCATTTTTCTGATTATTCTTCTTTTTTTTTTTTTCTGATTCTGCTTCTTAACGAGTTTAAGCGAAAGCCAACAGTTTCCCCCGAGACCTCTGCCTGTGCTGCAGCCAGGCAAAACCCAGCTTCCCAGCATGATTCCTCTTTATTGGTGGGGGTGAGGGTGGTGAGTGGGGGAGAGTCAGACACTCAAGGTCACACATTAAGCCTCCTGCGGGACTCACCTCACATTACCGTTGACCTTCAGTCTCCTCTCAAGCTCAAGGTTTCTCTGGGCTTATGCTGTGTGCTGGGTCTTTGACCTTCTTACCAAGGAGGTGATGCAGGGCTCCGAATTCTCCATGAATGAAAGTAAAACAACTTCCAGAAGGCCTTAGGCCCAGTCCTATGTATGTGCTCTTGAAAGGTTTAAAGAGGAAATGTGAGTCCCTAAATCTTTTTTGTTTACAATGACAGATTTTGCTACTGTTCCCCCAGTATACATTTTTTTTCCTGAAAATTGTCTACCTCTTTGTTACCTAATTCTCTGATTTAAAAAAAAAAAAAATCAAGCTGCTATAAGAATTGGAAGCAACACTGGAGCATAATCATAAATAATCTTTTTTTTAACTGAAGGTCCTAGAAGGTCAAAGCATGGTTAAACCAGTTTTGTGGGTCCCAGGAATGCTTCCCACAGGTGTCAGGGAGTTCCTAATAGCCCCTGTTCCCTTTACACAGGCTTGCTTCACTCCTCTGAATGCTTTCCCCTTCCTCCTGGTTGGAAGTCTTGCTTTTTGGCCTTTGCTTTAATATGTTTAAAGCTGGAGAAAAATAACTACAGTTTCCTCAGTTTCAGCTTTCATAAAATTTACGCAGACCACTTTTATTTTCCTAGAAATCTCGAATTCTCTCCCCGTGGTCCCCATGGTAACTAGACACATCATTGTTCTTGGGTCTTACATCCCCTTTGTTGGAAGAAGAGTAGAGTCGGTTTTCTAAGTTTATACTGACTTCCTCTGAGGAATGAATTGTCTCAGAGCAAACTGGGACAGTTTGATGTAGAGTTACCTACCAGAACGCCTGAGAGGCCACAGATGGAACCCCTGGTAATGGGTAGTAGGAAGGCAGACTAGAGTGTAGCAGTGCCCAGGTGAGGTTTGAATGATGTTCTTGAATAGATGGGAAGCAAAAGTGAAGGCATTTCCTTGGCAAGAATCCAAATATAAAGCAGATCCTTTGTATAAAGTAAATTGGGATTTATCGTAAAGAATTGCCTGGATATTTTCCTAAGCTGCATGCTACCAAGAAGACTTTCTCTTTCTAACCCTCATTACTTTGGATATGTTAAGAAAAGCTGATCTTGTATGGGACCTTAGTATTAGTAGGCACCAGGGGTCCCCAGACTGCTATAGGGTACCAGGGTACATACTGATTGCTTGTTTCTTCATATATTTATGTCTCAGAACAGGAGTCCCTATCAGGTAGGGTTTGTGATACAAGAGGATATTTGGTTTAATCTTCCAAACCCACCTAGCATTGCCCGTGGTCGAGAGAGGTGACAATCACGTGCCTGATTTAACCCTTGGACTGGACTTTAACATAAAAATTTCCCAAATAGGGGTCCTCAGCTTTTAGCACCATTTTAGAAGCATAATAGCTGCTTAAGAAACATCTGTTGAATGTGAGAGGACACAGTTGCTGGAGAGCCCAGCAGACATACTAGGTCTGAGGCAACCGCGTTGACTGTTATGGCCCAGATGTCCCATCTCTGCTTAGGGACCAGGGGCCTTGACCCTGGGGAGGGGCACAGGAGACACAATAGAAGCAGGGTGAGGCCCCACCTTACTAGCAGGGCCTTCGGTGAGTAGAAAGTGCTGGAGGCCAGGAGACACCCAGGAATAACTTTGGGAGACTCGGGAGAGGGGGCCTATGTCATACAGTCAAGAGTATAATTGAGTGAAATTTCTGTTACACTCTGAATGAATGAATTCATTGGAATTCCATAGGCTGGAATG